TATCAGAGTAACCTCACCAATGTAGAGGTTTTCCCTAGACCGCCCCCCCCCCCACCTCAGACTCCTCCTGAGTAGCTTCCACTACAGTTGCATGCCACTATGCCTGGTTTCTACTTTATTTATTTATTTTTAAGTCAAGGTCTAAGTTTCTCAGGCTGGCCTTGAACTTGGTAATCCTCCTCCCTCTGCCTCCCATGCAGCTGGGATTAAAGGCATGTGCCACCATTCCCAGAAGGATTTGCCTATTTTTAAATCATTAAAAGGAGAAGCATAGCCTGGAGAGGTGGTATACACCTGTAATTCCAGCTGTTCAGGAATCTGAAGCAAGAGGATCACAAGTTTGAGGCCAGCCTGATCAGTTTAGTGAGATCCTGTCTCAAATTTAAAAAGAAAGAAAGAGAAACTGTCTTACCACTTCTTCATCCTGATCAGTTGCATCAACACCAGTCTGCCCCAGCAGGTTGTATCCTGGGAGTTCAGGGCCCTCAGATGCTAAGCTGTGTTGCAGATGAGGGAAAGCCCCTGACAGTCTCCTCTGCTGGAGAAGAACAAATGCCTGAGTAGCCCAAAGTTGGACATCCAAGAGTTTTTGTTTTGTTCACTTTTACTTCCTTCTAGATTTCACACTGGAGTGGTTTATATGTTACTGTCTGTGTCTCTTTGCCCTCAGTTATCCCTCTTCTTAGACTTGATTCAGCCTTGAGGAACAGGGCACTCCCCTGTTTTAGACACTTCAGCCAGTTATACTCTGAAATCTGTAGCTTCAGGAATTTTGCAACCTATTATTGTATAGCAGAAAACCCATTATCGGGCCGGGGTTGTAGCTCAGTGGTAGAATGCTTGCCTAGCATGTGTGAGGCACTGGGTTCCATTCTCAGCATATAAATAAATAAAGTTCATTGACAACTGAAAAAAATATAAAAAAAGAAAAACCCATTATCTTATTTATCTGCCCATTCTCAGAGCTCCAGGAAGAACCTCTAGGTTAGTGATATTTCTCTGATAAAACAGTTTTGTATGTGTGCAAGTGGGAAGGAGATGTTGAATGTAAAGTAAATTACTCTTGGAAACAAAAACTGAGAATTACATAACAGAGCAGTCAGCAGGCTGAGCTTCTTGGGATTTCCAGTGGCCCCTTCTTTCAACAACTATCAAGTAAACACTTTATGCAGAGGCCTGGGCCGGCCATGAAGGTGAGGGTGGATGGAGCTGTGAACAGGCCCATGTGAGTCCTCTGTGGATCCATCTATAACCCTGGCGCATACTGTGAAGACCAGCAAGGTAGAGGCCCCGCTGGGGGACTTGCATCATCAAGTGTGACAGACTCTTCTGCTCTTTCCCCCAGCTCCCATAGAAAAGGGACATCATCCCCTTTCAACTATGCAAAGCAAGAGGAGAGTAGAATTGTGTCTTTTTTTTTTTTTATACCACTTTTGTCAGCAAAGCCTTTATTCCTGGTATTTTGAAGGTGTCCACGAAGGATTTAAGGCAACCCTGAGACAGTCCTTACTTGTCTCCTGTTGATTGCTGAAACAAAATCTCATCTGGAGAACATCTCCATTGCCATTCTATTGTAAGTACAAGCTAAACCTGGAAAAATACAGTTGGGCTGGAGAACAGCTGCTTTGGCTTGGTTTTCAGAGGCTATGAAATGATCTGTTATCCCTCACATCCAGCACATCGTTACCTTTCATTTGCCTCCTGCATAGTAATGATTGGAAAGGAAATGTTTGTGGGTTACATATTTGACTATTTGACTCCCTTCCATAGAGGCAACAGAGGACACAAAGTAAAGTGAGTTTTTACCATTCAAATATTTGTTGGGTTTTCTGCTTTTCTTCTTCTTCTTCTTCTTTTTTTTTTTTTTTTTTTTGAGTTTTTTCCAGATTTTATTTTCAATCGTCTGATACAAGAAAATATCTTATGGATAATATATGTTACCTATTGCTATTGTTTCTTTTTTTGTAGTAGGTCAGATTAGCAAAATATCATCAATGTGATGAATCTATGTGATATTTTATGGTCTTTTTAAAATTTTTTAATTGATTTTTAAAATTTTTTTAAATTGATATTTTAAAAATAAATGACAGCGGAATGCATTACAATTCTTATTACATATATGCAGCACAGTTTTTCATATTTCTAGTTGTATACAAAGTATGTTCACACCAATTTATGTCTTCATAATTTGGATAACTGTGTCCAAATTATGTACTTTGGATAACTGTGTCCATCACATTCCACCAGCCTTGCTAACCCCCTTCCCCCTCCCTACCCTTCCCACCCCTCTTCCCTATTCTTCCCATGCTCCCCCTCCCTACCCCACTATGAATCAGCCTCCTTATATTAGAGAAAACATTTGTTTTTTTGGGAGGTTTTGTGCTTTTCTAGACAACAACCACAACAACACCACCAAGTTGATTGGAAAGTTACCCTTGGAAGTCTCTTAGATTTTTTTGTACTGAGTTCTTAGTCACTATCAGGGCCCTGTCCTCCCTCTCAGATGAGCAAAGCAGAATTTCTTCATTGTTGAGACAAAGCACTGAGCTCTGGTAGATGGGATAGTTTCCTAGTCTAGCCATTTAGCCATGTGACCTTGAGCAAGTTACATGATATTCCAGAGCCTCATTCCTCTTTTGTGAAGTAGTGTTAAAAGCTATTACCCTGTTAGTAGGATTAAATGAGATAATGTCTGTAAATCCCTAGGTTTAACAAGGACTCAGGAAATGATCACTTTTTTCTTTTTTTTATTGTGAAATAGGGCAACTACTGTTTTGTTTTTTTTAAATAATCACTTTTTAATCTCAGAACAATCCCAGAAGCCTCTGCCGTGTACTCAGGATGACGTGGCTTCTGGGAAGCTTCTTTTATCTTTCATTTATTGGTCAAGAAGGCTGGCAGTATGTCTCAGTGGTAATGAACTTGCCTAGCTTGTACAAGGCTCTATGTTGATCCCTAGCCATGCAAGAAAACAGTAAGGAAATGTTCAGATATAGTACATGCTTAATAAATACCTGAGTGAATCAGGAAGCTTTGGTACTTGTCCTGTTGCCTTATAACAGTACTTCACATTGTCTCTTTTGCATTGGGAGATGTTCTGAGAGGTTCTTTAAGAAAACTGGCCAGATAAACTTGGAGAATGCTGTTGAATCTAAAGTCTGTAGACTCTACCCCTTTCCAGAGATGAATAACACATATTACTGATTTAGAAGTTTGGGGAAAATTTTGGAGAGAAAAATCCTCCGTAGCTTCTTTAGGCGGTGGTGGAAGACATTGGGGATATTACCCAGGGGCACTTAACCACTGAGCCAAATCCCCAGCCCTTTTTATTTTTTTTATTTTGAGACATAGTCTTGCTTAATTGCTTAGGGCCTCACTAAGTTGCTGTAGCTGGCTTTGAACTTGCAATCCTCTGTCTCAGCCTCCCCAGCCACTGGGATTACAAGCATGTGCCAGTGTATCTGGCTCTTCCCTAGCTTCTTAAACTTGGCTTTTCCCAAATTTATTTTTATGTATAGGGTAATGGTAGTACCCTTCATATGTGGATGAAGCATTTAGAAAGAACTGTGCTGGGCTATCCCACTCCTTGGTATTTTTCTGAAAGATCTAAACTTGGCATATTATAGTGATACAGCTACCTCAGTGTTTATAGCAGCACAATTCACAATAGCTAAAATATGGAATCAACCCAGGTGCCTGACAATAGATGAATGGATTAAGAAATTGTGACAGACACACACAGTGGAATTTTTCTCAGCCATAAAGAAAAACGAAATTACAGCATTTGCCGGTAAAGGAAAGGGAGAGGGAAGAGTAAGTTATAGAGATAAAGGGAAGATCAGTAATGTAGAAGGAGATCGAGAGGCAGGATAGAAGGGTGGGAAGGGGAAGGCGATACAGAGCAATACAGAATGAATTCTTTAAAAATCATGTTATGTGCATGTATAAATATACTACAGGGAATTTCGCCTTTATAAGTAAAAAAGAACCAATCAAATAGAAATATATAGACAAGTGAAAGAAGTCTAGTAGAGAAAGGAGAATGGGGGAAGGCAGGGAGGACAGCGGGGAAAAGAGTGGAATCATGAGCCAAAATCAAATTCCATTCATGTATGATTTTGTCAGAATGAACCCAACTACTATGGGTAACTATAAAGATCTAATTAAAAAAAAGAAGAAGGGGGCTGGGGTGTGGCTCAGTGGTAGAGCGCTTTCCTAGCATGTGTGAGGCACTGGGTTTGATCCTCAGCGCCTCAGATAAATATATAAATAAATGTTGTTTTTTTTTAAAAGAAGAAGAACTCTGATAGGTTTGGTGAGTGTCATGAAGGGACTTCACGTTGCCATTTGTTGTTGTTGTTCTAATTAGTTACATATGACAGTAGATTGCACTATGGTGCATCATACAGAAATGGAGTCATATTGCTTTTTAACCTGTGGACTCTTCCGGGGTACTTAATCATTCCTATTAACAGGCATTTAAGTTCTTTCCAGTGCTGTACTATATGGATAGTGACGCAGTAAACCCAAGGTATCCTTACTAGGAGGTACTTCATGGGAGGGATTCCTAGAAATAGAATTGCTGGATCAGAAGATAAGCACATTTTAAAATGTGATTGATTCCTCAGAATTTCCCTCCAAAATTTGATTCGCCATGGTCTAACAGTTCATTGGCCCAATAAAGAGATAAGCAGCTAACTGAGCACAGTGGAGCATCTGTAATGCCAGTGACTCAGGAGGCTGAGGTAGGGTAAGTCCAAGGCCAGCCTGGGCAACTTAGTGAGACCCTGTCTCAAAATAACAAGGCCTGGGGATGTGGTAGAGCACATGCACCCAGCATGCCCTGGGTTCAGTCCCTGATACTGCAGAAGAGGATATCAGCAGCTATCTTTCCCTACCATATGTGTGCTGGATCCTTTCTTTCCTCCTCCCCTGAACACACTAACTGAAAATGGAATGGAACACAACTCAGAATCACTCGTCTCTTTTCTGTCTTGCAGAGTGTGACCACAGATAAGGGACCAAAATGACCGATTCGAAATATTTCACCACGACCAAGAAAGGTATGATGTGTTTCATCATGGGCCTGCCCTGTTATTTGCCTGCTTGCCTCTTCTGCTTGCTATCTGGGGGACTGGGGAACAGGGGCAGGGTGGAAGCCTGGAGATATTGGTGGGAGTGGCCTAGAATTTCTTTACCTTGTGGAGTCAGAAAATTAAATTGTTGAGAGTATTAAGAAATTGATTGCTTCTTTTAGAACTCAGGAAGGAAAGAGCATTAGCTCCAAGTATGGGGGAAAAAAAATCCTCTTTGTTCCCCACAGCTTAAAATACTTAAAATATATATTTTTTTCGCTTCTGGTGGGGGGAGGACACACAATCCTATCAGCAATCCCATTTGGGGGTGGGGGGCCTTGTGTGTCTGGTCCTTATCCATGGGCACATGTTTTCCATGGTTGTAGTCAGAGTCCCATCCTGTTTTTCATATAATGTTATCATAAACATTTCCCAACAGTTCTAATGACTCAATATTAAGGCAATGGAGTTGCTGCACTAAAATATGCTAAGTTAGGCTTATGTTGTTGGAGATTTTTTTTCCCCCTGTTTTTAAGGAAATGGAGGATGTTGTTGTGGCTGGCAAGTGTGCTTTAACCCTGTAAGCATCTCTTTGGCTGGCCCTTCCTCTCCATTCCTTCCTTGCAGGTGAGATTGACACATACCTACTGACCAGATAGTCTTTTTTATTTTTTTAACATTTATTTTTTAGAAGTAGTTGGACACAATACCTTTATTTTATTTATTTTTATGTGGTGCTGAGGATCGAATCCAGGGCCTCACCATGCTAGATGAGTGCTCTACCGCTGAACCACAATCCCAGCCCCAGATAGTCTCTTATTGAATCACATGAGCCAGGTCCTAAACTCTGTCCCTCAGCAAGCATTTTATTTATTGATCCAGCCTGTTCTGTTTTGTTGTAAGAGACAGGTTCTCACTATGTTGCCCGGGCTAACCTTGACGTCCTGGGCTTAAGTGACCTCCAGCCTCAGCCTCCTTAAAGCTGAAACTACTTACTTGCTGGTTTTTATTGAGGACCTCCCATGTGGAGGGAAAGAGACAGGCAGTCTCTGACCTGGCTTTGCTTGAGGTTGAACTGGGAAGATAGTCTATGAAGTAGCAGCCATACTGAAGGGTGGGGGTGCAGAAGGCTGTGGAAGTACTCCAGGTAGAAAAGGGTGTGGGAAGGGGAGGGAGTAAATGCTCTACCCGTGATTCATCCAGGAAAGGAAAGCAGTTTCTTTGCTGAGGAGCTAGAAGGGGCCAGAGAGGCATGCAGAAATCAGAGAGCTTCACACCATGTGTAGCAGAGTATCAATGGTGGGGTTTTCTTCTGGGGAGAATGTCTGGAGAGAGATTCCTGGGTTCAGATTTCAAATTTGACATCATTGGGGTGTGTGTGGTGCAGTGCTGGAGATCCAACCCAGGGCCTCGCATGTGCCAGGTAAGCACTCTACCACTGGACTATATCCCCAAACCATTAGTGATGGGTTTTTTTTTAAATATATATATATATATTTAGTTGTAGATGGACATAATATATTTATTTATTTATATGTGGTTCTGAGAATCGAACCTAGTGCCTCACACATACTAGGCAAGCACTTTACCACTGAGCTACAACTCCAGCCCCAGTGATTGTTTTTAAGCAAGGTAAAGTCCAAGGCAGATTCTAATAAAGGATTAGAGGGAGGTGGGGAGACAAGGACCACAGCTCTGATGAGACCTGATGGCACCTGAGCCTGGCAGTGGTGGGGAATAGCTTTGGGGAGAGAGAATTGAATGCCTTTTATGTGATTGAGGAGTTAGACTTGATTGAGGGACCCAATAGACAAAGGATACTTTCAGAGGCAGTCAGATCCCAGGGTCACCCCATCAGCCTTCTTAGGGCTGAGACCCATTAATTAATGGCGGTTGTACTATATCTGGCCACTTTGAGTGAAAAGCAGGGGCAGCCCTGCAGAATAGACTAGGATCAAAATCATCATGGTCTGTTGGATCCCAGAACAACCAGAAACCCTCCCCTCACTCTCTTGCAGGAGAAAGGCACATGTTCCTTGATAAATTTGAACTGCAGGATCTGCAGATTCTTCCCACTCCATTGAGCAATATCCTCAGTGCAGCCTTGCCCCGGGGCTGTGCTATGTGATTATTCTTAATTAACCATGTTTGCTGTCTCTCATCTCAGGTTCTCTTCTGAGCACCGCATTGTCCAGTCATGATACAGAACCTACTGGTTTCCCTTTTTCTCATTGTAAACCCACCTAGAACTTTCTCAGCATTTTCTTCCACATTATAGTTCCTGCTTCAGTAAGAATCCTGAGAAGGAAGCCCAGGACTCTTACTCTACAAAAGAGGGATCTAAAGGCAGAGGGTCATGTGGCAGAATAACAACAGCTGCCACCTTTAGCACAGACCACCAGCAAGGCACCCAGCAAGTGTTTCACCTCTGAGTGTTAAATGGGAGAATTCAGCACCCTATTCAAGGGAGAGAGAAGAGGCCAGGAAACAGGTTCAGAGGGGCAAAAAGGAGTGTCTTGAGTTAGGCCCAAACATAGGGGTTTAGAGCAGACTTAGGACAGACCTGGTTTCAAATCTTGGCCCGGCCCTCCTATCTGGTAGCTGTGTGTAAGTTACTATACCTATTACACCCACCTGTAAAATGGAGTGTGAGTTTGGAATGAAGAGTTGGCATGAAGACAAATGAAAAAGGCATGGGAAAAAGTAAGTGTGGTACAGGGCTCAGAGAAAGGCTCAGGAAATATATCCTGTCCTCCTAACCTGTAAGGAGGTCCTGACTGGCTCTCTTTGGAAGATCTGAAACAGCCCTACTTCCTTGTTTCCTTTTTCTGTATTATCAAGTTCTTAAGAACAATTGATTACATGTTGGGGCAGCTGAATTCCAATTTTCCAAGCTGAGCAATCACTTGTAGCTCAGGAAGTGAAACCCTGAGCAAGCTGTTTGAACTCGAGATTCTAGGAAAACAGGAAAAGCCTACGTGTGGGATCGATTCCTCCCCTCTCCCCCCCTCCCCCCAGTCCTTGAGCACCCAGTCTTGAGGGCGTCTGGTTCAGTGAGGGAACTGAGGAGAACTTTGCTTTCCTTTTCATTTTTCGCAGTCTGGCTGAACAGACCCTGCTTGCATGTTTTTTGTCCCCCTCAAGACCATTGTAGTCTCCACAGTTTCTATCATTTGGTGCAGTGTGACCCTCCAGTCTTCCATCTTAATAACTGTCAAACTCCTCACTGTCACCTATCCCACCTAAGGCCAGGGGCCTAAAGCTGCCCTCTGCCTCCCTGCCATTCTTGGGAGTTTGGGGACAGGAACTTATCCCCTGGGGATGGATCATTCATGCCTTCCTACTTTTCTTAGGGGAGATCTTCGAGCTGAAGGCAGAGCTCAACAGTGACAAGAAGGAGAAGAAGAAGGAGGCGGTAAAGAAAGTGATCGCATCGATGACTGTGGGCAAAGATGTCAGGTGTGCAGGAGTAGGCTGGGTGGCAGCCAGGTGCTGCTGACGGGAGGATGGAGAGCTTGGGTCCAGGTCAGATTCCTCCTTTAGTGTACCTAGAGACCCATGTCTCCCTCATACAGCTCCTTTTGTGAACCTTCTTTCCAAACAGGGTTTTGTTTGCACAGGAGTCGTGAGCTCAGATGCTGATGGGTCAGGTGATAATGGAATGAGTGAAGTGTACTGGGTTGAAAAGGCAGCAGGTGTTGGAGTGGGTGTGACGTGAACATTTGCAGAAGCTCCAGAGGATTGTTGCTAGCCAGGGAAGATGAACCCAGTGTGGCCAGGTCTTCTGGGTTTTAAAAAGAACAGGAAGTCTGGATGTTTTCATTTTTTAAATCACCAGACGATAGTGTGGTTCAAGCAAAGCACATCTACAGACTGGATTATTCTAATTTGCTGCCAGTGCGCAACCTCTGGTTTGCATCTGAGTTGGAACAGATCTCATGTAGAAATAGTGCCACATTGGGCTGGGGATGTGGCTCAAGCGGTAGCACGCCCATCTGGCATGCATGTGGCCCGGGTTCAGTCCTCAGCACCACATACAAACAAAGATGTTGTGTCTGCTGAAAACTAAAAAATAAAATAAAATAAAATAAAATAAAAGAAATAGTGCCACACCTTTGCTCCAGATTTTCCAGCGCCTGGAATGCCTGTTTTCTCAGCTTGTTTTCCCATCTTTTAAAGCCCGTGCAAGATCTACCTTTTCCCTGTTGCCTTCCCTTATCGCCCAGCGTCCTGTTATAAATTCAACATTTGCTCTTTGTTCCTATCACCCAGCACTGATTCTTGACTATTCTTATTACTGCATGCACCTGTGTTTACCTGCCCATCAGATTGTGAAGTCCCCAAAGACAGGGATGGATTTTATAACAACTTAATATTTGTACGGTGCTTGAGAGTCTGCACAACACTTTTGGATATGATTTCTCAATAGTTCCTTACAGTTTTCATTGTAGGCAATGATGTTCTTACTGTCAGAGAAACAATATAAAGAAGGAAGAAAATGACCATCTAACGGTCATGTGGTTAGTGGCAGAACTAGAACTGAAACCCAGCCCTTCTGAAATTCAAATCCAGGCTGCTTTTGCCCAGCTTGTGTCTCAGGCCTGGTGCTGATGTGGAGCAGCTCCCTGGCATAATGGTCCCACAACATGATGACACTGCCCTGGACTTCCCCCACAGATTGCCTATCCCATTGCTATCCTCCACAAGGCCCTTCTGCCAACACTCAAAAACACTTACCCAGAGACTTGAGGAGGACGTATATATTTTTCTGCTGGAAAACTGGGCCTCCTTCCAGGTTCAGTTTGTTTCAGAGCAAAGCTGCTCTCCTTCAACTAGAACACTATTGTCACCTCCTCTCGGAGGAAATATCTTTGTTCTTCCACCTCCGAAGAGCTTCCTTTGCTGATGTTATGGGCCAAAGAGAGAAAGCCAGGCTCATCGGCACTCCCCCCTCCTCTCCTTGCCCCCTGTTCTTCCTGATGTGTCATCTCCCAAGGTGGTGTAGCATCAGTTTTAGCCTGGCAGGACTCCTGCCTGTGGGGGCTGAGGAAGTTCTCTTTGACCTTTTATGTCTCAGTGCTGCCATGTCCTTGTCAGTAAAAGCATAAGAAATGAGAGGGAAGGTGGTGGTTCCAGAGACAGAAAATTGATCTCTAACCACATTTCATTCTCAAAAGGGCCTGTGAATCTGGAACCATTGGCACCTTGTTGTGAAGGGCTCCACCCAGTATAGCAGGGATCAAGAGCACACACTTTGGAGTTAGACCTGGCTCCTTAGGCAGGTTAACACTTATGAACCTCAGTATTATTGTCTGTAAAATGGGACACTCCTTGGCTTCTTGGGACGCTAAATGAATTGAAGTATGTCAGAACCTTAGCACTAATCCTGGCATGTAGCATGTACTCCATTCATGCTTTGCTGGTTCTTTCTTAGTGGGTGCCAGAGCTGGCCTTTGTGAAAGCAGCACATTCATCCCTGCTTCCCTATGACCCTCCAGAACCAGCAGCCCAATATAAGGGGCCCTGTTAAGTACAGAGGGGAAAATAAGTGTTTTCATTTACATAGCACCTCCCAGATACCAAGGACCAGATACGGTAAGTACATTGTCTCATTTAATTCACTAGGGCCCTGTAATGTGAGATGGGGTTTTTGTTGTTGTTGTTATTATTTTGTTTTTTTGTGGTCATGAGCTTTTTGTTGTTGTGGTTGTTGTTGTTGTTGCAATGCTAGGGATTGAACCCAGGACCTCCAGTGTGCTAGGCAAGCTCTCCATCACTGAACTACATCCCCAACCCCAAAGAGAATTTCTGCTGCACCTTTCTTGCAAATGAGGAAACTGAAGTCCAGGGGCTGAAGGAAGCTTCCTAGTGTCATACAACTAGCAAGAGGCAGAACTGAGGGCTGGGGATATAGCTCAGTGGTAGAGCTCTTGCCTTCCATGCTCAAAACTCCAGGTTTGATAACCCAGTACTGGGGGGAAAAAATTAGGGCTGTCGCTTAATGATAGAGCACTTACGTAGCATGCCCCCAAGACTCTGGGTTCAATCTCCCGTGCCACCAGAATAAAAAGCCACAAAGCAAGAGGCAGAACTAGAACTGGGTATGGTGTAATACCAGGTACTCAGGTGGCTGAGGCAGGAGGATGACAAGTTCAAAGCCAGCTTTAGCAATTTAGTGTGACCCTGTCGCAAAAAATAAAAAGGGTGGGGGTAACTCAGTGGTAGAGCTCCCCTGAGTTCAATCCCCGGTACTAAAAAGAAAACAAAAATATATATAGACCTAGGTTTAACAGGCTCCAGAGCTCATGTTTGAGGACTTTTTGCTTTTAAAATTACCCTTTGGGGCTGTGGTTGTGGCTCAGCACTTGCCTAGCACACATAAGGCACTGGGTTCGATGCCCAACACTACATAAAAGAAATTAAATAAACAAAATAAAGTCATTGTGTTTATCTACAACTAAATATATATTTTTTTTAAATTACCCTTTGACCAGGCATGGTGGCGCACACCTGTAATCCCAGTGCTGAGGCAGGAAGATCATGCGTTCAAAGCTAGCCTCAGCAATTTAGCAAGGCCTTACGTATCTCAGGGAGACCCTGTCTCAAAATAAAACATAAAAAGGTCTGGGAATGTGACTCAGTGATTAATTGCCTCTGGGTTCAATCCCTGGTACTAAAAAAAATAATAATAATAAAATAAAATAAAATTACCCCTTGGGCTTCTATTTCTCCTATCAAGTGTTCAGGGACCAGCATAGCTAATACCCTTATTTTATCAGAAGTCCTGTTTATCTTTCAGCTTCCCTCTTGCCCTCTGTCTCCCTCTTGCTCTTCCTATCTTCAGCCTGCCCCATACTGACATCAGTTTGTCCTTTCAGTGCCCTCTTCCCCGATGTGGTGAACTGCATGCAAACAGACAACCTAGAGCTGAAGAAGCTGGTGTACCTGTACTTGATGAACTATGCCAAGAGTCAGCCTGACATGGCCATTATGGCTGTCAACACCTTTGTAAAGGTGAGCAGGAGCTTGGTGACAATGGGTGCTCCCTGCTACGTGTCCCCCATCTCTGGGGTGTGGTCCTGTGGCCCTGAATAGAAATATTCTAACCCCTTCCCAGATCTTCACACTGCTGCTTCCTTCCTGTGCAGGCTAAGGGCCTCTTCCTCCAGCAGAGGGCTCTCTTTCTCTCTGTATGCACACATACAGGAAAATGACGGTTTCCTGGCAGGGTAAAGACTGAGGGTCATGGTGCTAGTGGTTGTGGATTTGAGAGCCTTAACTTCTTCACCTGTGAAATGGAGCCAATATTGTGTGTTTGCTGGGAGGATCAGAGAAGACTGTATGCAGAGTTCCTATACAGCATCTGGCAAGGGCTTGGTGTCTATTGCATGGTGTTTACCTGCAGTGCTGTTGATTATGGTTGGTGGTTATTACCCATAGATAGCCCATAGTTATCCCATAGCAACTGCCAGATGGTTCTCAGCTGCAGGCTCAGAGCTGCAGGCCAGGAAGAACTGGAAGCCACATGACTTGCTTGTTCCTGCCCCTGACCAATGGTTCCTTCCCCTCAGGACTGTGAGGACCCCAACCCCCTCATCCGGGCCCTGGCCGTGCGGACCATGGGCTGCATTCGAGTTGACAAGATCACTGAGTACCTGTGTGAGCCACTCCGGAAGTGCCTGAAGGATGAGGATCCATATGTGCGCAAGACAGCAGCCGTGTGTGTAGCCAAGCTCCATGACATCAATGCCCAGCTGGTGGAGGACCAGGGCTTCCTGGACACCCTTAAAGACCTCATCTCTGACTCCAACCCCATGGTAAGTCAACTGCCACTCACTGAGCCACCTTCTGGGTTGCCAGGGAAGACCTTGGCTTGACAGTCTGCTGGGCAGTCTCTTGTTCTTAGAAATCAGAGTTTTGCTGAGTGCCATTGTTCCTGTACCTTGTGGTGGTTTAGGAACCATCTTTGCAAGAGACTAGATCTGGATTCTCTTCTGTGTCCTCTACTAGCTGCCTGAATTTGGGCAAGCTGCCTAATGTTTTGGAGCCCTCTTCATCAGTAAAATGAATCTAATTCTCTATGATGGCAGGAATGCTGGAAGGTAATGGTCATGGCTTGCTACGTAGTGCAGTTGGTACTAGTGTCTTCTTTCCCTTCCAGTCATTGTCATCATCACTATCTCCTCACCAAGACCATATATAAGCTGTTCTTTTCTGTTTCCACATATCATCCAGGGATTGTAGAGGGTTGCCCTTGGAGTGGCATAGTGTGGAAGACAGAACACTAGAATGTGTCTGGGTGGTGATGGCAGCAATTCACAGAGCAGTTTGTAAATCAAAAGCACAAACCTCTGGCCTAACCATCTCCTGTCTGTCCCACGGGAACACTGATCACTCATGGGCACTGAGCAGTCAGTATAGAGACTGGCATTGAATGCACTGTTTGTTGAGGGAAAAGTTGAAAACAACACAGACCACACATACCAGGTGCCCTGGTAAAGTGGATTGAGGGCCCAGGGGTCACCTATCAAGCTCCTCTGTATACCTACCTGTTACCATCACTTCTAGCAGCCTCAAGGGGATCTTCAGGAATCTTCTGAGAAGTACAATTGACAACCACTGAAACGAGCCGCTGTGGCTGGTAACCAGGCTCTTGTGTTAGGTAGCTGGAATGCTTTCTACCGCCAAGCACTTGGAGCTGGGGCTTTCTTGTTCTGTTTTGTTTTGTGCAATATGCTTATTTTATTTTAGTTGCAATTTGCAGAGGCATCAACAGGTTGAGTGCCTGAAGTGGGCCTTGATGAGACTTCAGACCTGCTTGCATGGTCATATTCCTTTCAGGGTGTCCCACTTCTGACTAGCTAGTGTCATTAGCCCCTTTGACCCCTGGCCAAGAACAGTGTCCCCAGGCTCTGCCCTTCCATCCTCTCAACCAGGTGGTGGCAAATGCCGTGGCTGCCCTCTCAGAGATCGCCGAGTCTCACCCCAGCAGCAACCTGCTTGACCTGAACCCACAGTCCATTAACAAGCTGCTGACAGCCCTGAATGAGTGCACTGAGTGGGGCCAGATTTTCATCCTGGACTGCCTGGCTAACTACACACCCAAGGACGACCGTGAGGCCCAGAGGTAAGCTGGATGACCCTTGCCAGCCCACCTGAACTTGATCCTGTGGAGGGTCCAACCATGAGCTAAGTGGGCCCCTTCACAGGGCTTTTCCCCTGGCACCATCTCTAAGTACACTTTCCTCGAGGGAGCCAGCCCACCCTTCATGTCTCCAGAGCCAGGCGTTCAGTAGTGTGGCTACAGGCAGTCAACTCACTTCTTGCTGTGGTTACAGAAAGGGCCTGACCTGGGAGCTGACAAGAACCTCAGTCACCTCAGGTAGATAACGTCAGAGCTAGCTTGAGTGAAGAAATTAGCCATTCACTGAGTTTTCACAGGATGCCCTGGGCAATGCTGGACCCTCTGTACACATAGATAATCTTTAGAGCAACTCTGTGAAGGATACCTTATTATCATCTGCCATCTTGCAGATGAGGAAACTCTGGCTTAGAGAGGGTGCAGGTACCTAGCTGGGACTCATCTGACCCTTGGTCTCAACCAGCATGACATCCTGCCCCATTTGAATGTCCTGGCAGTGGGGGGAAAGGAAGGAGCTGACTTTTGTCTCATCTACTGTATGCCAGGCACTGCCCATTCTTTGTATGTGTTATCTCATGTAAGGGCCCCAGCAACCCTGTGAAGCAAGCTTCAGTCTCAGCTTTATAGATAAAGAAACTAAGGCTTAGAGTGATGTGAGCCTGCTTGGTTCAGTTAGCAGGCACCATGATCTAGATCTTCCTCCTATTAAAAGACATGCTATCTTGATAACTAAACAGAACATATCCCCTGTCTATCTCTACTCTTTGCCTTCTCGGAACTGCTGGACCTCAGCATCTGTGAGCGGGTCACACCCAGGCTCTCCCATGCCAACTCTGCTGTGGTGCTGTCTGCTGTGAAGGTGCTCATGAAGTTCATGGAGATGTTGTCCAAGGACCTAGATTATTACAGCACGCTGCTCAAGAAGCTGGCCCCGCCCCTGGTCACACTGCTGTCGGCTGAGCCAGAGCTGCAGTATGTGGCCCTGCGCAACATCAACCTTATCGTGCAGAAAAGGTACAAATGCCACCACACACATGTTCAGCGTGCACTCCTGGGAATGGGCTCTCAATCGAAACTGACCTGTTACTGTGCAGGAAATCTAAAAAATCCCTTAACCCAGGGGTTATCAGCAGAGCACGTTTAACCCCAAGGACATTTGTGGTATCTGGGACACTTTTGGTTGTCCCAACTGGATACTGCTAGCATTTAGTAGATAGAGGCTAGGAACACTGCTCAGCATTCTACAGTGCTGGATAGTCCCCCATGACAAGAAACTATCTGGCCCAGAATGTCAACAGGGCCAAGCCCTTGAAGCCCTTGCCCCTTCAGGGAGCAGGCTTGGTAGAGGTTAGCATGGGGCTGCTGTGTGTGTGTGCGCGTGCGTGCATTTTTCTTGGGGACAGAATCCACAGGTCTAATCAAATTCTCTTGAGCTTAGAAGCCTTGGAGATGGTGAGGCATCAGCCTCTAGGCCTGGGGAAGGGGCAGAGCAAAGTCATCACCATGCCTAGCTGCCTCTTTCTCTATTCCCTGAGAGAATGACTGCAGTAAGCCTCTGATCCCAAGGTAAGGGGTCTGCCACCTGGGATTGGCAGGGGCTGAAACACATTGAGCAGACCCCTCAGAAGGGGTCTCTGGAATGATCTACTTTCTGAGAAGTGACTGTGAGTGAAGGAGTCCTGAAGCCGTGAAGGGTGGGATTGGCCTCCTGAGTTCTTCCCCCTGCCCTTTTGGTCAAATGATTTACTCAACAGTCAGGACTTGGCAGTAGCAAATGACCACAAAGCATTCATATGTTACAGTAGCCCCGTTGCTGGGAGCAGGGTACACAGAGAACAAGGGCTTATAGTCATTCTCTCGGAAGGTGGTACACCCTCTTTGTTGTAGTTAGAATCTGGTTCTTAGTATACTCTTGGGGATCCAGAGATATCAGTGGAACTGGGACATTTGTGAAGATTTGGGAAGTAAATATGGGAAAGCTTTCCAAGTACCTAAACATAGCCATCAGACTAGGGTGTTAAAGTTGCAGTGTGGGTCTTTACCTGTCAGAGCCCTTGGGTTACTGGATTTAGTAAGGTGTAGGGACTTGTAGATCCAGATCAGCATGAAGGGCTCCCTGTGCTATATTTAACATGGTAAATCTCTTAAGAAGTTGTCCCTATTGTGCACACCTGGCCTAGCCCAGCCCTGACACATGGTTAGGCAGGTTTTACCGAGTCCTGCTTACAGAAATCATCTTCCTGCTGCCCAGCTCCAGTCTTGCCTCCTCTCTGTAGCAGGACAGAGGCTTCTGGCTTGGCCAAGATCTCCTGCCAAGATCTGTGTGGCAGCAGTGAGTGCCTGGGCTGCTCCTCTTTCTGCCCCGACACCTCCCTTCTTTACCTTCTGTCCTCATCCCTTTTCCTGATGATAGAAAAGGTTTTGTTTTCAAGTTGTCATTTTGTGTTTTTGTATTGGTTTCTGTTCTAGAAAGGGCAAAGGAGTAGGCGTTGGGGTGGTGACTCTCATCTTGCCCCTGCCCTTGTTAGCATGTGACCTAGTATAAACCTCACAACCTCACTGAGGTTCTCTTGACTAAGAAAAAATGCAGTGGGTGGTGTCAGTTGAGGTCCAAAAACCATTGCATTTGAGGGAGGAGCAATGATAAATGTGGAAGTGTGCCTATGATCCCAGCAGCTTGAAAGCCTACAAAAGGAGAATTGCAAGTTCAAAGCCAGACTCAGCAACTTATCCAAGCCCTAACCAACTCAATGAGACCCTGTCTCTAAAATATAAAAAATGGCTGGGGATATGGCTTAGTGGTTAAGCACCCCTGAGTTCAATCCCTGGTATCAAAAAAAAAAAAGTGGAAGTGCTCAGCTGGTGACAGGTCCTGCCTAGCAAGTGCCTTCTCTAAGGCAGGAGTCCATCATGTTAGATGCTTCCTGACTCATAAAACCAGCAGATTGTGTAGGTGTCTGGGACAGGGCACTCAAGACCATGTTCAGAGATTTACCAGCAGGTTTCCTGGGATTCAGCATATAGTTATGCTTCTGGGTAAGATCTGTTAGAGTGGCATGTGAGGACACACAGCTGGATCATAAGGGGATAAATATTTCAGAGTCTGGAGGAATCCATGAGGGATTTCTCCTGGTCCCTCCCTCCCTTGGCAAGTTGGATAGAGCATACTCCACCCCAGTAACAAAGTATAGGAACACGTGCCAAGCGTGGTGGTGCATGCCTGTAATCCCAGCAACTTGGGATCAGCAGGAGGATTGCAAGTTTAAGACCAGCCTCAGCAACTTAGCAAGACCCCAAGCAACTTAGTGAGACCCTCTTTCAAAATAAAAACACATATATGTGGTTTAGTAATTAAGTGTCCCTGGGTTCAATCTCAGTATTTAAAAAAAAAAATACAGGAAGACATGGAATATTTCTGCCAAGGGCAGCCTAAGTGAGACTTAGTTCACAAGGTTTTCATTGGGGGCACTCACCAGTTTCAGACTCTAAGAAGGAAAGCAGGTGTTAGGCATAAACTATATTGTTCATACATATGGCCTAGGTACAGTCAACCACCTTTATCATTCAGAGAATTGCCGCCACATGCCAGGCCTTTCTAAGATTAGCAGACACAAGCCTGCAGCATAGAGTTTTCCTGCAGTGTCATTCCCACTTCACAAATGAGGAAATAGAGTCCTGAGGTCACAAGCTGGGTTTGGAACCTTTGCCCAATAATTACTGCCTTTGAATATGAACTGTCTCTTGCTGTATTTCCTCTCCCCTTCCTGAGGTATGGACAGGCAATAACCAGGCAGAACTTTGCTCAGGCTTTCCCTGGGAATATAGAGCCACAACAGTGCCTTTGCTTCCCTAAACATCAGGCTCCACCTCAGACCCCAGAAATGTCTCAGCATATATGGAGAGTTTTTTTTTCATGGGGTTCATGCCTTGCTTTCTGCTCTCTGGGCATCCTGCCCTGCCACCAGGCCTGAGATCCTGAAGCATGAGATGAAGGTCTTCTTTGTTAAATATAATGACCCCATCTACGTGAAGCTGGAGAAGCTGGACATTATGATCCGCCTGGCCTCCCAGGCCAACATTGCTCAGGTGAGCATAGTGTGGTTGTGCAAGGCACAGGCTTCCATATCAGATAGCTACCTCACCTACTAGCTCTGGTCTTTGGGTCAGATGATAATTCTGTGAACAGTTCAGAATAATGAGAATATTAACCATGGGACCTGGAGCTTCATAAGCAAATTTTTTATTTTTTATTTTTTTAATATTTATTTTTTAGTTGTAGTTGGACACAATACCTTTAGTTAATTAATTAATTAATTAATTTTCATGTGGTACTGAGGATTGAATCCAGGACCTTGCACGTGCTATGCGAGTACTGCTGAGTCACAACCCCAACCCCTTCATAAGCAGATTTTTAAAAACTTTGATATTATGTTGTTAAAGAACATTCTCCCAGTGCTCACTTCGGCAGCACATATACTAAAATTAGAACGATACAGAGAAGATTAGCATGGCCCCTGCGCAAGGATGACACGCAAATTCGTGAAGCGTTCCATATTTTTATACAAAGATGTTTGTCTGCCAAAAACTAACTAAATAAATATTAAAAAAAAAAAAAAAAAAAGAATGTTCTCCCAAGCCAGGCATGATGGTGCATGCCTGTAATCCCAGTAGCTGGGGAGTATGAGACAAGGGCATTGAAGTGCAAAGCCACCCTCAGCATTGCTGAGACTCTATTCCTGAATAAAATATAAAATAGGGCTGGGGATGTGGCCCAGTGGTTGAGTGCTCCTGAGTTCAATCCCCAGTATCCACCCTCCTACAAAAAAAAGAATGTTGGGCTGGGGATGTGGCTCAAGCGGTAGCGCGCTCGTCTGGCATGCGTGCGGCCCGGGTTCGATCCTCAGCACCACATACCAACAAAGATGTTGTGTCCGCCGAAAACTAAAAAATAAATATTAAAAAAAAAAAAAAAAAAAAGAATGTTCTCCCAAGCTAGTCATATACATCTGTAATCCCAGCTATTCAGGAAGCAGAGGCAGGAGGATAGCAAGTTTAAGGTTAGCCTGGGCAATTAAGCAAGGCCCTATCTCAAAATACAAATTTTAAAAAGGGCTAGGGTCTATCTCAGTGGTAGAACACTTGCCTATCATGCCTGAGGCCCAGGCCTCAACCCCCAGCACCAAAAATTAAGAACAAAGTAGTAGTTGGATATGTTAGTTAGATCATCCTACAACAAGAATTGTCTGATCTTGCCTTCCTTTTGGGGCACCTGGGTCTCTCCTTCCACCTCGCGTAGGAGACAGAATCCTCTCCTTCTGGGGATCTTCGCATTCTCATTACCCAGGAATGTTCCAGATGGTTGCCCTGTCACATTCCCCAGTCCATTTTCTCTGTTTGGGTTACAGGTGTTGGCAGAGCTAAAAGAGTACGCGACAGAAGTGGATGTGGATTTTGTACGGAAGGCTGTACGTGCCATTGGCCGCTGTGCCATCAAGGTGGAGGTGAGGAGGTTCTGGGACTCCTTCCTTAGCTGAGCGAGGAGAAGAGAGCTGAAACCAATCTGATCCTGACTGCTTGTGGTCTAGGAAGACCTCAGGGTCACCATAGGAGCCCCCAAGACACCCATTATACAGATCCATTTGGGTTCCTTCTTGGTAGTTTCCTTTAAGCCTTCCAGTTGCTGCAGATTAAATTAACACATCAGCCAGGTGCAGTAGTGCACGCCTGTAATCCCAGCAGCTCGGGAGGCTGAGACAAGAGGATCAAGAGTTCAAAGCCAGCATTAGCAATGGCAAGACACTAAGCAACTCAGTGAGACCCTGTCTCTAAATAAAATACAAAATAAGGCTGGGGATGTGGCTCAGTGGTCGAGTGCCCCTGAGTTCAATCCCCAGTACCCCAAAACTAAAAAGAGACAAAAGAAAAATTAACACATCATATCATGGTTCACCTGTAGCAGTAGCGAAGACAATGGGGCAGCCACCAGCTGGTGGTAGCCCTGGTAGGCTTAACTTCATTTCACAGAGCATTGGAGCAGGGGCTCTGCCTTTCTGATACTTCAGTACATATCCTGATTCAGCTACCCATGGATCTTTCTCCCAGCTGCCCAGACTGCTCCAGACCCTGTGTACTGACATTTCACCTCTTCCCATTCTCTGCTTAGAGAGGTATTTTTTGACTACCAAGCTGGACTCTCCTTAAATGAGCCCAGTGGTGTCTAGAGGATCTCGGATTAGCTGGTCACCCCCAGGCCAGACCCTTAAGTCATTTGGAGGCATTTCCCCTTGATGCTCATGACGGCCATCCTGAGAAATCTCTTATCCTGGGTCGTCAGCACAGAGTGTGGGGATAAAGGCAGAAGGACTGGCCCACACAGATTGTGAGTGGGTTTGACAACAAGAATCCACTTTATGAAACAAGGAAGAGTGGTTAGGTGAGGCTGAAGCGGAGTCACTCTGCCCAGAGGGCTTGGCCTAGAAGATCTCCAAGTCCTCCCCACTCTCAGGAGTGCTTCCCCTGGCTTCTCCACAGTCTCATCCTATCTCCATGTCCCTGCCCTCCCAGGACCATCATTTTGTACTCATTCTCTACCTTTGTTCCCTACCCCTTATCTGAAGGAGTCTGTCCTCTTATTCTTGTGCTGTAATGAGGAAGGTGGGTGGGGAGTGACTTGGGCTTTTTGGCCCAGCAGCTCTATTGGAAGTGGGGTAAAGGGACCTTGCCCAACCCTCCTCCTCTTTCCACGCAGCAATCTGCCGAGCGTTGTGTGAGTACGCTTCTTGATCTCATCCAGACCAAGGTCAACTACGTGGTCCAGGAAGCCATTGTGGTCATTAAGGACATCTTCCGCAAGTACCCTAACAAGTAGGTACCACCCATCCTCCTGGTGATGGAGCGATCTGGCTTTGCCTGTGGACAGGGTGGTGGGAAGGTAGAGGAAGGAGGGGCCTCTCTCCTCCCCTCTTCCTTCTGCCTCTGTTGTTGCTGAAGTATTCTTGGAAGAAAACTTTATTTTTTCTTGTTTCCCTTAAGCTGGCCCTGCTCTGCTCCCCAGGCCAAAATGTGGTAGATACAACTCAAATTCCCATTCCTCACCATCTCCTAGGGATTTGTTGCCTGTCTCTAGCCTCCAGTGGCCCTCCCCACAGGGTAAGCCAGGCTTTCTCAGTGCTCACATGCTGCCTGCTTCCTTCTTTTCCAGGTATGAAAGTGTAATTGCCACGCTGTGTGAGAACCTGGACTCCTTGGACGAGCCTGAGGCCCGAGCAGCTATGATCTGGATCGTAGGCGAGTATGCTGAGCGGATTGACAATGCAGACGAGCTACTGGAGAGTTTCCTTGAGGGCTTCCATGATGAGAGCACCCAGGTGAGCTTTCATGTGGTCAGTGCCCAACTGGACATGAGTCATGACCAGCAGCTCAAGCCCATCCTGCCCTGAAACCCTCCCCTCATACTGCTCTGCCCATGTGGACAGACAGCGACAGTGGATGTATGGAGGTTGGGTGTGGTCACCTTTCTTCACCCATGACAGTGCCTCAGTGAACATGGGAGATAGTCCACAGTGGCATGCAGGACAGGTAGGCAAAGGTCTCTGGGTTTGTTTTTTTGTTTTAATTTTTTTGTATTTGTAGATGGACAATACCTTTATTTTATTTATTTTTATGTGGTGCTGAGAATTGAACCCAGTTCCTCTCACATGCTAGGCAAGCACTCTGCCCCTGAGCTACAGCCCCAGCCCTGGGTTTGTTTTAATTGCATATTTATCTTTCTATAGGTAATCATTGAGTTGGTTTAAAATTGAAAAGATATGGAATAATAAACAGTAAAGTGTTCCTTCCACCACTTTTCCGGAAGCCACTAGTATTCTTGGTGTCTTGGGGATATTTGCAGAGGTTGTTTAGGAACGCACCAGCAGATACACACCCCTACATGCACACACATGGTCCATTCTCACTTTTCATGGTATTTGTGAGTTTTTTTTTTTTTTTTTTTTTTTTTTTTTGCGTGGGCTTACTCTCATCCAGCAAGGAAGTCCACGAACAGGGTAGAGGAGAGTGTGGTTGCAGAGTCACAAATCAAGTCCTCTGGAGACCAAGCAGGAAGCAGGTCTGATTTTATTGCGCAGTTATATATACTCGGGCAGTAGCTAAGCAGATTACAGGCAGCCACCAATACAGTTTCTTGCCAACTGTCCTTGCGGCGACCAATTGAGGAGCGAGCTGCAGAGCAAACGCTGTGACTGCAACACACGTAGTCTTATATCCAGTGCTGTGCCTGCGGGGTGAGCGGTTTGCTGCTCACACGCTAGCACAAGGGGAGTGGTTTGCCACTCAGGCACCCTTAACGTATGCCACGCATGCAGTACTCCATGCATTTGTCCCCACAATTGATTTTTTGTTTTTGTTTTTTTGTTTTGTTTTGTTTTTTGTCATTACCAGGGATTGAACCCAGGGGTGCTTAACCACTGAGGCACGTCCCAACGCTTTTTAAATTTTTTGTAGTTTGGTACAGGGTCTCACTAAGTTGCTTAGGACCTCACTACATTGCTGAGGCTGGCTTTGAACTTGCGATCCTCCTGCCTCAGCCTCCCAAATCGCCAGGATTACAGGCATGCACCACTGTGCCTGGCTGGCATTTGTGTTCTTTAATCATTGCAGATGCTGAATTAGTAAGTACTGAACATTTGCTTTAAAAAGGAATATAGTTAGGTTTTTGTGAGTGTCTGGATACATTTTTGTCAGTCAATATATAACATTGTTTTTGTATTTCTGTTTAAAGACACCTTATTTAATATATATTACCAATTCTTTAACATTGAGTTTATGGCCAACACCACTGTAACTCGTGCCTGAACAGAACTTATTTGGCATGTATGTTTTATGCATGAGGCACCTCACAGCTTTCTTGTGCATAAGAACATGAGGCAAATACTTCAGCACAGCATTTGGGGGAAATTTTAAATGAAAGACTCAAAAATGTGGGGGAAAAAAAGCACTAAACCTGGGAAGGATGCTTGTTCACAGTCTTTTTTTTTTTTTTTAGTTGTTGATGGGTCTTTTATTTATGTATATGTGGTGCTAAGAATCGAACTCAGTGCCTCATGGCTTGCTAAGCAAGTGCTCCACCACTGAACCACAACCCCAGCCCTTGTTTATAGTCTTGAGAGCTGAAGTGAGAAGGCAGAGTGCTGCCTTGTCCAACCTCCATTTGTAATGTGTGCGTGTTGAGCAGTTCCGAGTTCTCACTGCTCTGTCCGAATCTGCAGGTGATTACAAAAGCACCATGAGCATTGATTTGGGGGCTACAAGTGGATTTTAGCCAAGCAGGCAGATTCACAAACATGGACTCTGCAGAAAATGAGTATTGTCTGTGAATTTATTTTCCTCTCATTTATTTTTTAAACACTACTGGCAGCACACTGTGAAAATTCAAGTTGTTCAGTGTCTTGCCTTTTCCCCTTAAAATATATTTGAAGGCCATGCTGTTATTCATCAATACTTTGTTTAATTTGAGAAGGCAGAGAAGGTGACCATTTGACGACTTTTTTTTTTTTTTTTTTGAGTACTGGGAATTGAACTTGGCCTCTAAGCCAGCCCTATTTTTGTATTTTATTTAGAGACAGGGTTTCACTGAGTTGCTTGGCTCCTCACTTTTGCTGAGGCTGGCTTTGAACTCATGATCCTTCTGCCTAAGCCTCTTGAGCCACTGGACATTTGACTCTCTTTTAAGCAGTACTGCGACAGCTAGGCTGTGTGATGCACAACTGCGCATAAATCTGGAGAATAATCCTTAAGCAGAATGCTTAGAGAAAAGGGCTTGTGCATTTGAGATTTTCATAACTTTTGCCCAATTTCCCTTAGTGTAGAGATTGTGCTGGTTTACTTCCCACTTAAGATGATGACATTGCCCCTTCCTTACCTCCTGACCAGCTGAGTGCATCCTCACACCTTTTTCTGCCCGTCTGATTGATAACTAGAGTAACCTTATAGTTTTGTGTGCATTTGTGTTGTGAGGCCAGGCCATTTGTCAATGGTATTTCCATTTCTGTGAACATGTGCCTTTAAATAGTGCGCCTGGTGGGGGCAGTGTAACCCAGTGGGTCCAAATGTAGGCCTTGGAATTGGAAATCCCAGGGTCCACATCTCTTGTCTACCCCTTCCTGGCTCGATGCTTTTATGCCTTATTGCTTTTCTCTCTGAGCCTCAGTTTTCTCTTTTATAAAATGAGAATCATTAGACTTTCCCTCATTCTGTTGCTATAAAAGTTATATGAGATGTCTTCTGTAGTGTCCTTCAAACGTACCCAGCTTGTAACAAGCACTCATTAATAAAAGTATTGGTTTGGGCAAGAACTATTTTCAAAAGTAAACTGGTCCAGGGAAAAACAGGACTGACTGGTTCCTATAGCTGACGAGTCCTTTCAGCACAGTCCCTTCCCACACTCCTGGCTGCAAATGCTTGAGTGGTGGAAGTGGGGCTGTCTCTGCAACCCTCAGGTGGCTTCAGCTTTGGACAGGCTTCCAGGAGACGGGCTACCAGGGTTCAATAATTTCTGGTCTCTGTCCTTACAGCTTAACGATGCCCATGAAAAGAGAGTTTTCCCCCTCCACAGTCCAGCCAAAGTCCCCAAGGCCTGTTTGCATTATCCTAAGCCAGTTATTGTGGCTTCAATACTCCAGGTCCCGTAGATGCTTATCTCCGTCTCTGTAGATTGAAAGGAGTTGAGAGAAAGCAGTTCTCTGAAAGAAAGCCAGCATTTCTTTTGCCAGAAGACAGAGAAAATGCTCGGTGAACAAAAACAGTAGATGTTCCTCACAGAATCCTAGCACATAGTCACTCCTGCTCCCTGCCTCCAGGTTGTCTTAACTTCAGCACCTTGTCCGTCCGTTATCTCTGAGACACTTAGCATGGCCTAGGATGGTTTCTGCCTCTGCAGCCAAGTCCTACCTCGGGTGGCCTGTGGGGAGGGAGTGACTTTGCCCAGATATTCCAGTGAATCTTTTGCCGACCTCTCCCCCCTCAGCTAAGCCTGCTGAAGAGCCAGGATTAGAGAAGCCAAAGGAAAAGGAAAAGCTGAGCCAGGTGTCTGATAGGGCTCTAAAATTGAACCCAGGCTCCTTCCCTGTGTGTGGCCTGGGGCGTTACTTAAAATTAGCTAAGTCTATTTCCTTGTCTCTAGCACAGTGCTACCATAAAGATTGCAGGATGCTGTGTGTAAAGTGCCCTGTCCAGTGCTCAGTACACCATAGCTAGGAGTGGGGATGGTGTTTGCACCCTGGGTTCCCAAGACATTTCAACACTCTTTTAAGAATACTTGTTTAGGGCTGGGAATATAGCTGAGTTGGTAGAATGCTTGCCTCACATGCACAAGGCCCTGGGTTCAATCCCCAGCATCATAAACACACACACACACACACAGGCACACACAACAAAAATACTTGTTTAGCCAGGTGTACTGTGCTCCTGTAATCCCAGCAACTTGGGAGGCTGAGGCAGGAGGATTCAAGTTCAAGGCCAAAGCCGCAGCAACTTAGCGAGGCCCTGAGCAACTTAGTGAAACCCCCTCTCAAAAAGGATTGAGGATGTCACTCAGTGGTAAATCACCAGGTTTAATCCCCAGTAATCACCTCCCACATGCACACACACAAAAAATACCTGTTTAGTGCTGCACAGTTTTGGAACTTGGCCTAGATTGTCTCAATCTTCTCATCTTGGCTCCTGGGCTTTTCTAGCTATGGAAGGGGAAGGAGCTCAGAAAGATCTTGGCCAGGATGATACACGAGTTCTGCCTGCATTCATTGCATCCTTGCTGGATGGCGAGGGCTATAGCACCATGACAAAAAGACTGTCCTGAATATGCAGGCTCATGGGGCATAAATGTGTCCAAAAAACAGAGCAGGGCCCTAGCCTTATGGACAGAGCACCCTCTGGCAGCAGAGAACAAGGCAGACCTGAGCCAGAAGTCAGCAGCCCTGACAGTGATGAATTGTTCCAGACAGCCAGCTGACTGAGTTGGGGAGTGCTTGTAAAGAGTTCCTGTGTGGCGGTAGTGACAGCAGTGGTGATAATTGTTGTATATTAAGCAGAATACACACTAGCTTCTTTACATTTGTTGTCTGATTGGCTGTTCCCATTAACAAAGTGAGGTGGTATTGTACCCATTTTATAGATGAGAAAATATGACTCAAGGGGCTGGGGATGTGGCTCAAGTGGTAGCGTGCTCGCCTGGCACGCGTGAGGCACTGGGTTCAATCCTCAGCACCACATAAAAATAAAGATGTTGTGTCCACCTAAAACTAAAAAATAAATATTAAAAAAAAAGAAAAGAAAAGCCTGTAATCCCAGTAGTTTGGGAGGCTGAGGCACGAGGAATGCAAGTTCAAAGCCAGCCTCAGCAGCTTTGCAAGGCCCTAAGCAACTCAATGAGACCCTGTCTCTAAATAAAATACAAAAACAGGGCTAGGGATGTGACTCAGTGGTGAAGGCCCCTGGGTTCAATCCCTGGTACCAAAAAAAAAAAAAAAAAGTAGTAGTAATAGTTAAATGACAAGTCCAGGGTTATCTGGCTGGGAAATGATAGAATGAGAGTCCAAATAAGGTATAATCTGACTCCAGCTCCAAGTCAGCTGCCATAGTTGCCATTTTCAGAGCTCACAAGAACTCCCTCCCACCTCTTATTCACAGACTATGGGTAAATGACATCCTATAGGCCACTGGCCAGGAGCTCAGGCCAAGTGTGGAAGCCAGGTCCTGAGCTGCCTTCTGCCATAGAAACTGCCAGTTCACTGCTCCTCTCCCATTCTCCCAAGTGTACTCAGATCACGGGGTCTCTGGATTGCTTAATCCCAGAAAAACACTGCATGTCCTTCATTCTGCCTCTTGCTGTCAGCCCCCCTGCAAGCCAGAGTAATTAAGCCATTCATGCCTTACTGGACAGGCCCAAGAGAGGCTACTACAACTGCTACTCCTAACCCTCTTATCCCAGGACTGGCAAATGAGATTATGGCTAAGGAAGGACCATGTACAGTGACTTGCTCTTGCATGGATCTCTTTTCTTAAGTGGCTACTACATATCAGGCACTAGACTGAACTGTAACTAGAGATACACAGCAGTGAGTAAGACAGACATGATTCCTGCCCACTGGGAGCTCACAGCCACATGACAGCCTGATGGCCAGTGGCACCAGTGAGGTGGGTAGAGGAGACCATAGAAGTGTGAGCCTAGGGGTGGAGCTGACAGATGCTCAGGAGCCTAGGCTGGGTAGCACCTTCCATCCCGCTTAGGTTGGCCAAATGGTCTAATCCCCAGCTCCTTCCTGAGTGACTAAACCATTCTCGGCCTCTCGGCATCATCAGCACCCCAGCTGCCTCAGCCTGTGTTCAGTGGCAGCACCAAACCTGGACAAGCTGCTCCTGGCTTTTACTTTTACTTTCCTTTACTATGCCCTCATTTGGTTTCCTACTCCCACATGAAGCCCACCCTTGTTCCCCTCTGTCTCCCTGCAGGTCCAGCTGCAGCTGCTGACGGCCATCGTAAAGCTGTTTCTGAAGAAGCCAACAGAGACCCAGGAGCTGGTGCAGCAGGTCCTCAGTTTGGCCACTCAGGTGGGTGTCTCAGGAGCCAGGCCTGGGAGCTAGTCTCACCCCAGAGAATGGCATCTGTGGGGGTTTGGTCACTGAGTGATCCAAGATACCTGCTTCAGGGATCCCAGAGTTACAGACAAATCCAAGTGGTGGGGATCAAGTGAAGAAGCTGAGACAGAATATAAATCAGGGGGATAGGGGCCACCAGAGGGCAGGGAGGCAGACACAGAGAGCAGTTGGGAATTGAGACAGGAGTGGCTGAAGGGGAAAACCACAGGGATTGTGATTTACACACTTGTAAATCCCAGTGGCTCAGGAGGCTGAGACAGGAGGAGTCCAAATTCAAAGCCAGCTGCAACTTAGTGAGGCTAAGTTGTGAGACTCTGTCTCTAAGCAACTTGTGAGGCCCTGTCTCTAAACATTTAAAGGACTGGGTATATAACTCAGTGGTAAATTGCCTCTGGGTTAAATTCTCAGTACCCCCCCCCCAAAAAAAAAAAAAAAAAAAACAGGGAATGAGCCAGAGGCTGGGACATGTCCATTTAAGTGGTTCAGGGTTGGCTCATGGTGTGCTCAGGATTGGTGTCATTGGCCAATCCTGTGACCACACTTGGATGGTGGGGAGGGGCTTCATGGGCTTCTCACCTCCCTTAAGGATTCAGATAACCCGGACCTGCGGGACCGTGGCTACATCTACTGGCGCCTGCTGTCCACGGACCCAGTGGCTGCCAAGGAAGTGGTGTTGGCCGAGAAGCCACTCATCTCTGAGGAGACGGACCTCATTGAGCCCACACTGCTGGACGAGCTCATCTGCTACATTGGCACGCTGGCCTCCGTCTACCATAAGCCACCCAGCGCCTTTGTGGAAGGGGGCCGGGGCGTGGTGCACAAGAGCCTACCACCCCGCACCGCCTCGTGAGTGCAGCCAGCCCGTGGGCTGCGCCGCCCACCTGCCTTCTCAGTTCAATGATTTAATGGCACAGGCGCTGGGGCCTCATGTGACTTCCTTTGGCAGGGCCTGAGTCTGAGGCAATTATGATTCTAACAAACCTCTTACCCAATGCCTAACTACACATGAGGTATTCACTAGATGACCTCATTTGACCTATCAACAGCTAAAAGAAAATGTCCCCCTTTAGATGATGAGGACAGTGGGCATAGAGTTTGAGTGGCCAGTCAAGGACTCAACAGCTAGCAGAGCTGAGGCTCAGACCCAGTTCTATGTGGTTCCAGAGCCTTGTTCTTACCACCTCCTCTGCTGCTTCCAGGTGACTGCTTTGGCCTGATGACACAGTCCTTGGGAACAGGCATACAGTTTTCTCTTGTGTGAGCCAAAGAGTAAACACACATGGCTCTCTCCCTTCATCCACCCCCATGGAGAGCCCAGAGATGGACCACATGAACAAATGGGGAGGCAAAGGGCTGCATACAGCCCCCTTGGGGCAGCAAGGAGACTCAGTGCCTGTCCTGGGGAGAATCTTGGAGACTAGAATCTCTTTGACTTCCCTGGGATGTTTGGACACTCCTGCTTGCTGACCCTCTCCCTTCTGTCTGGCAGGAGTGAGAGCACAGAGAGCCCTGAGACGGCCCCTGCTGGAGCCCCAGCTGGTGAGCAGCCAGATGTTATCCCCGCCCAGGGCGACCTGCTAGGTGACCTCCTCAACCTGGACCTTGGTCCCCCAGTGAGTGGCCCACCCCTGGCCACCTCCTCAGTGCAGATGGGAGCTGTGGATCTTCTTGGTGGTGGCCTTGACAGCCTGGTATGTCCTGGGTCCCCCACCCCGACCCCAGGTGATGTTGATAATGATCTTCAGAGGAATATCTATTGAATACTCTCCCTTTGCCACACTAGCCAAGTGCCTCAGGCTCGCTGTATTTAGTCTTTATGCCTGCCCTTGAAGGTGATTGTGTCACTCCTACTTACAGATGAGAAAACTGAGGCTTAGACAACTTTCCCTGTAAGCACAGCACTAAGCAGCAGAGATAGGATTCAGCCCCCTTGCTGGACTGCTCACAGGCCCCTCCTAGCCCCTTCCTTTGATCCTGAATCCTCAGTTGCCTTTGCTTTATTCAGGGCTTTAGAACCAAACCAGCATCCATTCATCCTCAGGCTACACCAGCTGGGGACATCAGCTCAGCCAGGGCTCTGAGAGAGGCCCATGAGAGATCAGAATAGAACTTCCCTCCACTTTGGAAGAGTGGGTGGTTAGAGGAGCCCAGGGTCTCCCCAGGCTTCTTAGGTAGGTGGTAAAGCCAGGTGGTATGGGACAGCCAAGCCCTTCTCTTGCCCTATTCAGTTCAGGTGCCCAACACAAGGGCAGGCGTGTGGCAGTCAGCACCACTAGGGTGGTGGGTAAAGCCACGGGGGTAGTTCCCATAAGAAGACAGGGTTCTGGGCCTCAAACCAAATTCATCTTGGTTGGAGCCACAGTTGACTAATCTTCCTCTTTCCCTTTTTCTTGTTTCTGTGTTGCTTTTCTGTCTGCATGTTGCTGCCTGTTCTCTCCACCCTGCTGCTTCTGCTTGGAGATGGGGGATGAGCCTGAAGGGGTACGGTTCAACCCTGTGTCACCAAGCCTTCTTCCCTGCTCCTCCTCAGAGCACTAGCCCAGCATCCCAAGGGGTGGGTGATGTCATAGCTGTCCCTCCTTGCTGAGCCCTGGCCTTTGGTCCAGCCTTTGCTTTGACCTCCTGGCATCCAGTTGCCACTGGACCCTGAATACCATGAATTTTTCACTGTGTTCTTTTCCACCCCATTTCAAATTACCTTGTCATCCTGAGGATCTCTGGTCTGCTTAGTACATCCTACCCAGTAGTATGTCTGGGGTCCTTCCTTTATCCATGGGTCACCCCCCTGAGGTTCAAGGCTTATAGGGCATGGGAGGGCTTATCATCTCTCCTTCAACTATCTCACTCTCTTGTTTCTACAACTTAGAGTTGATGTGGAGAGCTGTCCCATCCCCATCTCCACTGTTTCCTAAACTCAAGTGACTACTCTTGCCATGCCCCTGATGTCCCTGCTTTTGATGCTTGCCTCTGATCTCTCTCTCTTCCTTTCCAGATTGGAGACCCGAGCTTTGGGGCACCCCCAGCAGCAGCAGTACCAGCCAGACTAGGAGCACCCATCAGCAGTGGCCTTAGTGACCTCTTTGACTTGACCAGTGGTGTGGGCACCCTGTCAGGATCCTACGTGGCCCCCAAAGCAGTAAGTACCTTGCCTTCAGTCACAGCAGGAACACAGAAAAATTATAGAGACCGGTATGTAGACTTCCTTAAAGGCCTGGGCCGGGGAATTGGCTCAAGCTGGCAGGGCAAGAGAAGCTGGGCCATAGCTGCACAGAGGAAGAGAAGCTAACTTCAGCTTGGGAACCCAAGAGGGCTTCCTAGAAGAGGGCTTCCTAGAAGAGGGCTTGCTGAGCATAGGCCTGCAGAACAGTCACAATTAGCTAAGCAAATGCAGGAAGGGTGCAAAGCCAGGGAGCTGCCCATAGCAAGGCCTGGAGGGGAGAGACGGGTGAGTGCTCCTGACCTTGTCAGGGCACTGAGCAGGCACAGTATTTTTTCAGTGCTTCAGACCCACTGCTTCAGTTACAGACTTCTTTTTTTAATACCGGGGATTGAACCCAGGGACATTTAACTGCTGAGCCACATCCCCAGCCTGTTTGTAACTGGCTCAGGGCCTTGCTAAATTGCTGAGGCTGGCTTTGAACTTGTAATCCTCCTCTCAGCCTTCCAAGCTGCTGGGGTTACAGGCGTGCACCTCCGTGCCCGGCCTATAAGACATTTTATAGTGCCCCCTTTCTGTCCCTAAAGAAAATTGGTAGACTCTTCAACCTATCTACACATAGAATTTCAAAAATAGTCCAACACTATCACTGGGTGAAGGAGACAAAAAGATGAAAATACAAACCCATATTTCAATGTAAATGCTTGGGCACACCCACCTACCCCAAAAAGACGTGTTAAAGTTTCCCTGTGGCTGTGACAGCTGTAGATGGTATTAGAAGCTTGGGCACCCTGAGTGATGTGGCCAACAGTACTGTTAATTTCTGAAACAGTGACTGAATCCCACTAAAAAAGACCAAGAACAGGCTCCCCTTGAGTTATAGTCCTAGAACTTTCCATGCAGGAAATGCTGCAAAGATACCCAGGATAGGTGCTTGTCACCAGGACTGTTGTCCCAGGACAGCATGTCCAGCATCCCTGACTCCAACCCACAAATCATAATAGCACCCCCCTTATGCAAGTGATGGTGGCCAGGTCACTCAGGCAGACCCCCAGCAGAGTCTGGAGATGCCTCACAAGTATCCATTGTGCTTCCCAGGGCAGCACATCCCCTAAGGCTCATGGCTGGGTGGGAGATTAGCAAGGAAGGGCAGGTCCACGGGGTCAAGCTGAGTGTTTACTCTTGATCCAGGCATAAAATCCAGGAAGGATTTAAGCTGAGGGATGAAATGGTCTTATTTGCCCTGAGAGAGATACTCAGGTTCCAGAGAAGGTATGGAGGAGCAGAAGCAGAGAGCCCACTCAAGGAGACTGGCAGGGAGGATGGGCACTGCTGAGGGTCTGGGTGAGGGGCGTGGCTTTGGGGGTAGACACAGAGGCTGGACTTGAGAGCTCCCTGGGAGATGGGAAGATCAGGATGTTTAAGGGCTTGGGGTGGTTCTCACTTGAGCAGCCAGGTGACCAGAGGTGCTGAGATGGGGACACAGGACAGAGGGTGCCAAGGAAAGGAGAACTGGGTTTAGGGCATGAGAACATGTGAGTCTGGGACTAAGGAGAGCACATCATCAGCATTAAAAAGGACATATCTGGCCTAATCCCCTCACAACGCTCATGTCAGAAGCTGTAACTGCCAGAGTCCCTCTCTTCTGAGGTTCCCTCACCGGAGCAGAAGGCAGGTAGGCTTTGGGGACACAGTGAGACCTGTTTTGAAGGGCCAGCACGTAACCTCACTCACGATATGCCAGCTGTACCTGCAGTGATGGTGGTCTTATGTGACTCTTAATGGGCCATTGCAGATCCCCCAGGCAAGCCCCCCAGCAGAGTCTGGACCCCAAGAGGCCCTCAGACAGCAGCTCTGACACTAGTGGCACACTGGTGTACCAGGCTCTTTACCAGGCTTTGCATCAGCCTTTCCCAGCACCCACCATCCCACGGAGGCCTCCTGCAGCCTTATGTTATAGTGAGTCCCATTTTTTGATTGAGAAATCTGAATGCTTTTGTCTACAGTTTCATAACTGGTAAGTGACAGTCTGAAACTGAATGCAACGTTGTGGCCCAAAGTGAGAACCACGTATGTGTCTGCCATAATGTCATGCATGGGTTGTCAGAATCATCAGCAGGACCAGAGAACAGAGGGCATGCGGTATGATGTAAATTGCATCAGCTGACTAATTACTCCATAGATTGTCCACACTAGGGCATGAGGTTGACCCATACCCTTTGAAAGCCCCATATAACAAGCATAAGGCAAGATAGAAAAACAGACCAGCAAAGACTCCTGCAACCCAGAGGGGTTTAATAAAAATTAAAAAGGGATAGGGATGTGGCTCAGCAGCAGAGTGCTTGCCCAGCAGCCAGTATCTCAATACTATAAAAAAGGAATTTTTTAAAAAAAGAGGAGGCATGCGACCTATGGGGCAGGGCTGGGGGGGAGCCCTCTAGGAAGCTGGGCTTGGGGCCAGGTTCGGCCGCTCTCTGACTGCTTCCTATGTGCTCAGTCACAGTCTAGAGCTTAGAACTGGAAATGGTCCTTTCTGCCCTCACAGATCTGTCCAGGGCATGCAAAAGGTGCCCAGGGTCAGCCAGATATGGTGGGGGTGGAGAAGTGCCTTCCAAGCAGAGGGATGGGGAGGTGTGGGTTCCCAGGAGCTGGGGCACGCTGAGCCTGGAGCAGCCCCAGGCTTTTGAGGCCATTGCAAGGTTAGAAGGGGTCTTCAAGGATGCCATGATCACATTTGAATTTCACAAAATGCCTCTAGCTGCTGGCGGAAGGGGAATGGAACAGACCCCTGTGGTGCTGCCCTAGCTGGGGAGGTCTGCTGGCACAGACATAGGTGGCTTCAGTGGAGGAATTGGGAAGTGAAGATCCTAGGGGCAGGTGGCATGGACAGGATTTGGGCTGCATGACTTCAGCATGAGGATTATGGACACTTGTGGAAGCTGTTAGGATTTTGAGGGGTCAGTAAGTCAGCCATGGGAGACTAACAGCCTGAGAGGCATCTGTGTGACCCCAAGGGTCCTATGTGACTCTTAATAGGCACTGCTGTGATTCCTACTGTTTATTTAGCAAACACTCCCTGAATGCCAGCTCCACAGCAGGCTCTGAGCCAAGGATATAAAAACAGAAAAGCGAGCCTTCCCTCAAAGAGCTCTGTGGGAGCAGGAGAGACAGGCACACAGGCTCAAGTTTATCTGCCTTCCCATCATTGGGACATAAATACAGGGAAGGAGCTTGGAGGCTGGCTTCCTGGAGGCAGCAGCTCTTGGGCTGAGACTCCATTGACAATTGCAGCCAGGCATCAAGGGCTTTCCAGACAAGAGGTCCTCTTGGGTACTGTCCTTAGCCACTTTTGACAATGAAAGGCTAGTCCTGCATCCTGTAAGGGAGGACAGACTGTGACAGAAAGAACTCAGGTTCTGGCCAGAATCCAAGCTCTGTCCTTGGCTTGTCAGGAGGCTGGCAGGGCTCACCTGTCTGGTTGCCTTCCCCAGCCCTGCTTGCTAAGTGTTTTCTTTGACCTCTGAAGACCTGGATAAGCCCTTGGGTGCACCAGTCACATCCCCAGCTATTCTGATGGCAACCACACCATGCGGTGGCCCTAGGTGAACCACGGGATCACTATCATCCTGAGATGGCAGGAGTGGCCAGTCTGCAAGGTCCCTTCAGGAGAAAGAAAAAGGAGCCCCCAGGTGGGCTACTGAGCTTGGGTCAGAGAAAGGGACATGTAAGAGCCCCACCCCGGTCTTCCCTGCAGGTCTGGCTCCCAGCCATGAAGGCCAAGGGCTTGGAGATCTCAGGCACCTTCACCCGCCAGGTGGGCTCCATCTCCATGGACCTGCAGCTGACCAACAAGGCTCTGCAGGTCATGACGGACTTTGCCATCCAGTTCAACCGCAACAGGTGAGCTCCCAAGGCCAGCCTGCCCAGAGTCTGTTGGCCTGCAGGCAGAGCTGGCAGCCACAGGGGGCCTGGAGAAGATAAATGTTCCTCACCACTCTCAGGCCAAACTCCACAACAGTGATCTCCACGCCACTCAACCTTTTTATGTAGACTCAAGAGTACCAGGAGGAGCAGGAAGGGTGTCCCCCACTTACTTTTGCCTTCCTTTGATGGCTGGAGAAATGTTGCTGTTAGAAATTCCAATTCTGTGGGCTGGGGTTGTGGCTCAGTGACTGGGTTCGATCCTCAGCACCACCTAAAGTAAAATAAAGACATTGTGTCCCCCTATAACTAAGAAAATATATTTTAAAAAAAGAAAGAAAAAAGAAATTCCAGCTCTATGAAGCACAGGCCTATAATCTCAGCAGTTTAGTGAAATCCTGCCTCAAAAGGTATCCAGGTACAGCGGCACACACCTATAATCCCAGCAGTTTGGGAGGCAGAAGCAGGAGGATCGCAAGTTCAAAGCCAGCCTCAGCAGCTTAGCAAGGCACTGAGCAACTTAGCAAGAGCCTATCTCGAAATTTAAAAAGTGGGAGAGTGGGGTGCTGGGGATGTGGCTCAGTGCTTAAGCACCCCTGGGTTCAAATCCCTGGTACCAAGAAAAAATTTAAAGATAACAAAAGGAAGGACTGGGATGTAGCTCAGTGAGGCACTCCAGGTTCAATCTCCAGTACCAAAAGAAAAAAAAAAAAGAAAGCAAACCTGCTCCCCAGCTCCAACCCAGCAACCACCCTTTAACAGGCTTCCTCCATACCAGGAGGGGACTGTCCCCCCACTGTCAGGAGCTCAATCCTCTTTTCCCAGACCCTAGTCAAATTTGTGTCAGGAAGCAACTCTAAGAAAGCAGGTGGAGAGCGGGCCTCCTTACCCCAACCCACCCCCCAGTGGCACAAGATCAGATTCCTCTGGGAATGAGTGGTGGCTGCTCCAGGATCCTCACCCACTCAGGTCCCCACACTGCATGTCATAGGGCACTATGCTGGATTGGTGAGGCAGCGAGGCTAGGGCTCTCTGGGGAACCGAAGCAGCCCCTCCTGATGATTCTTCTTCCTGAGCAGCTCCAGTGATGAGCAAACTGAGCCTCTAAGAAGTTGACTGAAGGGGCTGCTTCCTCAGGGAGTTCCTGGGGCTCCCACCCTTGGGCAGGCCAGGAAGGCGAGGGCAGCTCTGCCACTTTCTTTCAGAGGACCCTAGAGGCCACACATGCACTCAAGTACTAGGGATCGTCCCAACACTTGCTCATAACAAACCTCCTGTATGTTGAAGACTTCCTGGGTATCAGAACCTGGGCCAAGTGCTTTTGGAGTGTTGTTTAATGGAATCACCTGACAGCCCAGAAACTTAATGCCATTTTCCCTTTTTAATAGATTCAGAAAGGGCAAGGGCCTTGCAGAAGTCCACAGTGGCAGTGGTAGAGGTCCCAGGAAGGCCTGACTTGCTGAGCCACCATGCAGGCCTGGGGTTTCCTATGTCACCTCCTGCTATTTCTTAGGTAGGCCTAATTTGGCCTCGTGGGTAAAGAGCACAGCGGGAATCCAGAAGCTTGAGTTCTGAATCTTAGCAGTGTCACTCACCCTGTATGGTCTGGGCATGAGTCTGTGCCTCCCTGAGGCTCCCTGTCCTCACCTGGAAGATGGGATGACATCTGCCTGTTTTTATGGGGATAGAAACTGCTGTGCTAGCACATGCCCAGCGTGACCACCCCACGGCCTCAGTTCAGGTCACAGTCCATGCTGTTGTAATTTACCAAGAGCCTACAGTGGGGGTGTCTCTCACACCAAGGGTTGGTCCTCCTGATTGTGGGATCTGCCCACATACTGCTCTTGTCCACACTGCTCTACAGATAAACAAGACTTTCCTGAATCTCTGTGGCCATTTCTGGCCCAGTGAAATCTGGCTTTCATTTAAGGTAGTCAGACCCCTCCCGGGAGCTGGGAGTTGGCAGCAGAGACTTAGGTAGCCACTGAGTTTTCAAGTTAAAAGAATCAGTGTCTGGTGTCAGGTTGGAGCTGCTCAAGGGCAGAGCAGGGCAAGGCTGTACTAAACTTGGACCTGCCCAGGCCCCAATCCAGAGGAGAAGGGAAGAGATGTGCTTCAGTCTGCAGCGAGAGTGGGGCAGAGCGGCAGGCACAAGGCTCTTGCCTCCTGTCTCCACAGCCATGGGGGTGTGGCAGTGGTCGGGAGCCCGTCCTGCCCTTAGCCTAGAGTTTGGGCAAGGCCAGCTTGGTGAAGAGGCTCCTTGCTCACCTCTGTGCCCACTCTGGCCTAAAGAGCCCACCTGGCGTGTGTTAGCACCTGCTCCCCTGCCATCCCTACGGGGGCTTCTCTCTCCCCAGCTTTGGCCTGGCCCCCGCCGCCCCCCTCCAGGTGCATGCGCCGCTCAGCCCCAACCAGACGGTGGAGACCTCCCTGCCTCTTAACACAGTGGGCTCAGTCATGAAGATGGAGCCTCTGAACAATCTCCAGGTGTGTTCCAGCAGGGCCAGGCACCTCAGTGCTTCCCTGCCTGCTGGCCCCAGGGACCCAGGGGACCCAGCTGTGGCAGCAGAGGGCTGGTCTGTGGAGTCCTGGTTTGGGCTACATATGTGCCAGGGGCGGCCCAGGTCAGAGGGAACAAGGGGAGGATCATGCTCGGGAATGCCCTCCTTTGGGCCTCAAAGGTGGTGTCAGCCCAAGAGTCAGGGTGTCGAGCCTCCGGGACTGACTGGGGACCTCTTTGTGCCTAGGTGGCTGTGAAAAACAACATTGATGTCTTCTACTTCAGCACCTTATACCCACTGCACATCCTCTTTGTGGAGGATGGGAAAATGGGTGAGTCGTGAAGGAGTCCCTGGGGTCTCTGCAGTCAGAGACTGGCTTGGGAACCTGGCGTTTGCCAAGGATCAGTGGATGGCCTTGCCCCATGGTGGATCCCTCTGCAGAGCCTGTAGCAGGCGGCGTAGCTGGGGCCCCTAGCCCTGGCTGGGCAGATGGCTTATGCCACACAGGAGATCTTTTGCTTGTGGGCTCTCCTACTTGCCCCTCAGCCTTGTCCTACAGGCTGTAGGAGGAACAGATCATGCCACATGCTTGGTGCCCACATCCTGTGTGCTGGGGCCAGAACCTGGAGAAGGCAGTGCAGTAGGGGCTCAGCCCTGCCCAGCCTGTGGGGAGTGCTGGGCCCACGTCATCTCTCGCTGCAGCAGCCCTGGGAGGCAGGCCATGACTAACAAGCAGGTGGCTCAGAACCAGAGGAGGAAGAGGTGGGAGTGGGGAGGGGGAGAGAGGTGGGAAACTTGGGGTCATTTGGGAACATCCCTGGTGCCCTCATCACAGAGCTAAGGATTTGCTTGGAGAAGCAGAAGGGGCTGTGGAGGAGCTTGTACCTGTCCTCAGACAGTAAAGACCAGACCCATTTCCTGCCACATGCCATTGAGGGGCCACCCATGTATCAGGGTCCCATCTCTTACCCAACCCCACTCACCCTGCAGATCGGCAAATGTTCCTGGCCACATGGAAAGATATTCCCAATGAGAATGAAGCCCAGTTCCAGATCAGAGACTGTGCACTCAACGCAGGTGAGGACTCCCCAAACCTAAGCCCAGCCTCTTGGTTCCTGCTGGGCCTTGCCAGTTCCCAGCCCCCCCCTCGCTGACCTGGGCCCTGTCTGACTCCTTAGAGACTGTGAGCAGCAAGCTACAGAGCAGCAACATCTTCACCATCGCCAAGAGGAATGTGGAGGGCCAGGACATGCTCTACCAGTCCCTGAAACTGACCAACGGCATCTGGGTTCTGGCAGAGCTACGGATCCAGCCGGGCAACACCAGCTTCATGGTGAGAACCCCTGCAGTTGCCGGAAGTCCTGGAGCTCTGCCACCAGGCCAGTGGGGTGGCTCTGATGGGGTTGTGCTGAGGGTCCCTTGGAGCCTGGTGTGAATTAGACTCGGTTGTCTCTGAAAACACCTTTCTAGAAACTTACAGTGAACCCCCTCAAGTTATCAGGTAAGACACCAGGCATCTCCCACCTGGGCAGTGGCATTGCTGGGAACAGGCCCTGGCCCTGCTGTCATGCCAGTGCCTGAGTGCCCAGCCAGGAGGATGTTGATTCTCAGCCGCCTGTGGTCCCCAGCCTCAGAATCAGACCTAGTTGGGAGATGGCCTCCATGTGTGCCTGGTTGTCCTGGAGCCTATGCTGCTATTCCCGGGAACGGGGAGCCCCAGGCTTTGCTTCTCCCTGCACCCCTGGGTTTGGCAGGCATGGCCCTGCAGACCTGCAGACACTGCCTCCTCTGGCCCCGCTGGTGGCCTTGGCACTACGGTGGGAGAGGGTGCGGTGGTGGCTTCGGTGGTGGTAATTTCCGTCTCCCTGTGTTTGGTTGCTGCATGTCCACCTTCCCTGCTGGCGCCGTGGTGCAGGACTTGGAGGTTAGCAGATTGCTTTTCTCTTCCTCCTCCCACCCCCCCTCCCCAGCCATGCTGTGCACCCCCATCTCTTGGCCTCACTTCACTCTGCTGTTCCCAAAGCCAAGCAGAAGTGCAGATAGGCTGCTCATGTACCCGTGCTTCTAGCCCCTGAGGAGCCGACACCCCCACTTCCACACACAGTGTGCAAAGAGCCCTGGGGGCCACTGCTGCCCGCTTCCAGAACTCGACTCCCCCGCCCCCTCCTAATTGCATCCTCTAGAACTGTTACTTTTGAGTGGAGGGGTGGCTGGTTTCTCCCTCCTCTGCCTGGAATCGTGGGGCGTACTCCTCCGTCAGCGCAGAGGCAGTCTTTGTAGGAACAAGCCCTGGGCACCTCACCTGCTCCCTCCCAGCCCTCTGCCCCTTCAGGGTTTCCTGTCAGTCTTTGTCCTGAGGACCCCAGATCTCCAGGGGCTGTGGAAGGCCAGGCCCTCCTGGTAGCTTACGCTCATGAGTCACATCACCTGCCGGTAGGGCTCTGGTGGCGAGGCTGACAGCAGGTGTGTGGGCTGCAAGTATATTTGGTCCCCACCCAGCTGGCTGTGATGGCCACCCCCTCTGCTTTACCTCACATCTGCCCCAGCCGCAGCTGCCACCAGGCCACGTGGGCATGTCACGTTCATCCATCTGGTACCTGCTCTCTCCCCCCCCCTGGTGTTCCTCCTGCGGAGGAGCCTAGGGATGAGTGCTCTCTCCTCTGCCCCTCTCCCCTTGCAGCTATCCCTGAAGTGTCGAGCACCAGAGGTGTCCCAGCACGTCTACCAGGCCTATGAGACCATCCTCAAGAATTGAGGCATCCAGCACCCACCTAGCCTCCTACCAGCCCTGTCGAAGAGCCGCCGGGGGTAGCAGCACCTCCTCCTCATGGGAGGGAGGGGGCAGGGCTCCTGGCCATCCAGGGGGCTCCCTGGCCCTGACTGCAGGGGCCACCAGGTCCTTGGGGCAGAGTGGTCCCCCTCCTGGGGGAGAGCTCAGTGTACCCCATGCTCTGGTCACCCCTCTTCCATTGCTGCTCACGTGGGGTCAGGTGAGGGGAGTGAAGGAAACAGCCCGAGTGGCAGTGAAAGCTAATGCAAGGCTGCAGGGTCCCCTCCTCCGCCTGTGCCTGGGCATGAGTGTGGCGCTCTCCTCAGGCTCCCAGCTGGATAGGCCCTGCTGTCTCTCGGGTTGGTGTTAGAGGCCTTCCCACTGCTGCCTCAAGTTGCGTGGACTCTGGCAGCCTGTCCTGGGTATGTGGGGAGGGTCCCCTGGGTACCAGAAAAGCTGCTGTATCAGGATCAGGGGCTCCAGGGTTCATGGGTGTGACAGGAGCTGAGCTGAGCTAGCCAAGGTGAGCTCTGGGCCTGCACCACCCACCCACCGTCCACAAGTTGGTACCCTGTGACTGCCCCCATGTCAAGACCACACAGAAGCCCCCAGAGCCCCTGCCTGGGCTCCTGCTCCCCCAGCAGCCATGTCGTCCCCACCCCCTGCTCTTGAAGACCGTCACTGCCTCGATACATTCCTTGGCATCCTCTTGGGGAGCCCAGGGCAGGGCAGAGACAGGGCCAAGGGATGGGGCTGCGGGCCTGCGGGTGAGCTTCCTGCCTGGGTTCCTGGGGCTTCTCCAGCATCGGCTGCCCTCCCCTGCCTCCCAGTCTCAATGTCTGACAGCGCATTAGGTTTTCCTGTCTTTGCTGTTTGATAATAAAGAGATTCTGCTTTTGGCAGTCATGGACACTTCTTTCCCTCCCCAAAAATCAGATTTGAAAACTGCCTCCAAGTGGCCAGGGATGTTGTCTGACCCCCGCAGTAACTATATCTAATATATACAAATAGAAAATATATATTGTATGTTACTCTTATTTTCAAAAAGAGAAAGTGAATAAAAATGATGACATCAAGTGTTTCCCTGGCCGGTGTGTCAGGTCCTGAGGCTCTTCTCGGCGGGCATCCTGGGCTCAAGCTGCACCCCACACTGAGGACAGGGTTTTCCCTCCATCCTGTCTTTGGGAAACCAACTTCTGAGGCCTGCTGGTCTCCCTGGCACCTCTCCTGCCACTGATCCCAAGTCCTCCCCAGCTGATGCACTCTCACCTTTTGCCACTGGCCAGGAGGGCTGGCATCCCATTTGGGTTTCCCCTGGCTCCCTGCCTTCTGGGAGGCTCCTGGGAGCCACAGGAGAATCTCTGAGGAGGGGCAAAGTCAGAACCAGATACCACCAAGGACCCTGCTCTGTGTGGCCTCAATTCTGGTGTTGACCTGGGGAGGGCAGCAGTACCAGGCGGGCTCTGTTGGCAGAGCTTGCACTCGGTTGGTGGGGCTTCTGCCTGCTTCTCAGGGAGGAGCAGCCAGGGTCCCTCCAGCCCACCTCAGCCCCAGCCACCCGCTCCTGTTCTTTCTGCGCTCAGCCCCCAATACCCTGCCTGCCCAGCTGCTGGAAACCAGGAAAAGATGGTCTGCCCCTTTGGCTGGGCATCTTGCCCCACCTCTGAGCCCTGAGGTGCCAGTGTGCTGCCCCAGGGAACAGAGATTAAAAAAAAAAAAGGCCCTTGATTGTACACGCCTGGTTCTTGCAGCCCCTCAAGATCTATGTTCAGAAGGCCCCGGGCAGATGCTGCTTGAGGCTCTGCCTGCCAGTGAGCTGCAGGAGCGACTGACTGCTAGTTGCACCTGTTGTGTTGCCTGCATCCCCAGATCCAAGAATCCCTTAGAGGATTCCTGGATGGGGTCACTGCCTGCAAGGACTGCCGGCGCCATCATCCTGGGGCTTCTCAGACCCTCCTCTCTCCCGACGTCTGCCAGACAGTGGACATGTAGGATAGCTGTTCCCACTGGATTGACATTGGGCCACCGGGCTGGGGCTGGGGCTGAGGCTCAGCGGTAGAGGGCTTAACCTTGCACGTGTGAGGCCCTGGGTTCCCCTCAGCACCACATAGAAATAAATAAAGGTATTGTGTCCAACTACAACCAAAGAAAAAGAAAGGCTGGAGTGGGCTTGGTGGTGCACACCTGTAATCAAGAAACCCGAGGCTGAAGCCACAAATTTGAGACCAGTCTGCAGAATGTAGTGAGACCCTGTATTTAAAAAAAAAAAGCAAGGGCTGGGGATGCAGTTCAGTGGTCGAGCATCCCTGGGTTCAGTGTCCAATACCACACACACACACACACACACACACCGCTGGCCTGTTTGAACAGAGTGTGTTCATGGGCTTGCCCTCCTAAGTCAGTCTGCCTAAACCTCAGAGCATGGTGGGCAGGATCCTCCCATGATTCTGCCCACACAGCACCCAGCAAGAGGAGACCCAGCCTGTTCCTCAGGCTTAATATACTGGGGGGAAACAGGCAGAGGACCTTCAGGCTCCTAGTTCTCCAAGTGTGGGGTGCTACATATGGACATTGCATCAGGAAGACTGGCACCGAAGGCCAGGCCACCAGGCCTTTAGGAAAAGTGCTTTAGGAGCTATTCAATCCCAGCCCTTCGGCCTCCCTGTCCTTCCCATCGCATGCCTCCTCCTCCACCTGCTCAGCTCAGGCCTCCCCACCTCTCAGACCTGGAAGTCCTGTAGCTTGGGGAGGCACCATGGCTTTTGGGGACGAGGGTACTGGGGATTAAACCCAAAGGCCCTCCACCCTGGGCCACACCCCCTACTTTTTAAGTTTTATTCTGTAACAGGATCTTGCTAAATTGCAGAAGCTGGCCTTGAACGTGCTATCGTCATGCTTCGGCCTCTGGAGTCACTGGGATTACAGGCATGTGCCCCCATGCCCGGCCAGCCCTGGCTCTCTTTGAGAAGATTCTCCAGCATCTTGGGCCTTCCCAGCTGGTTAGGAAATTCAACAGCAACCAGTTCCTTTTAGAGGGTCCCACAGATACACACCCATGCTAAGGGCTGTGGTGAGACCTCCTTTGGCATTATGTTTTTTAACCTTTATTTTATATTTATTTTATGTGGTGCTGAGGATTGAACCCAGTGCTCACACATGCCAGGTGAGTGCTCTGCCACTGAGCCACAGCCTCAGCCCCTCCTTTGGCATTTTTAATCTTCAATTAGTGGTTTGTGTTTGTTTTCAGGAAGAAAGTGATGTAGGGCCTTAAGATCAATCATACAAAGGATAAACTTCTCCCTCCCACCTTTCCTCAGTCACATCTTCCCTGGAGGCAAAAAAACGTTGCTAGATTTTTTTTTTCCTTGCAGAGATGCTCGTCTATGTGTGTCCAAGCAAATCCCTAGAGAGATTTATCAAAGAAATGGTAGCACACCTACACACTTCCAGCATGTTCTGTGTGTGTGTGTGCGCACGCGCGTGTATGTGTGTGTGTGTGTGTGTGTGTTTGTGTGTGACAGAGGAGGGGGGTGAGATCCGGAGTTGAAGCCAGGCGTTCTAGGCAAGTGCTCTACCACGGAGCCACTTCTCCATCCTGCTTTTCCCTGACAGTAATTTCTGGAGTCAGACCCATATTAGTATTCCGCGGATGAATGGGCGGTGGCCCATTAGCCAGTCCCTGTGATGGATGGACATGCAGGCTGTTCCTGTCTTCTGCAAGTCCCAGCAGTGCTGCAGGCCAGCACCCTCCCACATACATCCTTGCTCATGGGTACAAATGCAGCTGTGGGATTGAGCTCCAGAATGGTCTCATCAAACGTTCACATTTTAGGGGCTGCGGTTGTGGCTCAGCGGTATAGTACTCGCCTACCACGTGCATGGCCCTGAGTTCGATCCTCAGTACCACATATAAATAAATAAATAAAATGAAGGTATAAAAAGTTACATTTTACATTTTTTTAGTTGTAGATGGACACAATACATTTATTTTATTTGTGTATTTTTATGTGGTGCCGGGGATCGAACTCAGGGCCTCATGCATGCTAGGCAAGCACTCTGCCCTCTGAGCCACAACCCTGGCCCCACATTTTACATTTTAACTTGGAGTTCTGGAGATGAAGCTGGAAAGCATAGCTAATATGTAGGAAGCCCTGGTTTTGGTCCCCAGTATTGGAAAAAAAAAATCCAAAAGGTAATAAAGGATAGGAGTGAAAGCCTTCTGGCTCCTTCCTGTTTCTCTCCCATTCAACGAAACCATGACTGTCCAAATGGCATCTAATACGTTTTCCTTTCCCCCTTCTTACATACAATCAGAGCTTGCAATACACATTGTTCTGTGCTGTACCGGAATCTCAGAGTGTGTCCATTATTCACTCATTGCAGTGTCCCTGTGCCTTTTATTTGAGGGCTGACCCAGGAGCATTCTACCTCTGAGCCACCACCTCAGCCCACCCCAGTTCTTTATTTTATTTTTATCTGGAGACAGGGTCTCACGAAATTGCCCAGGCTTGTCCCAAACTTGCAGTCCTCCTGCCTCCGCCTCAGGGGTGGCTGGGGCTCCAGGTGTGCCTCCCCGCTCCCAGCCCGGCTTCCCTTTTGATCTTTTCTTTCTAGTACTTGTCAGATCCTAGTGTTTGCCTTTCCCTCTGTTCCATCTGGGCTGTATGTAGGAAGGAGTCAGGGATCCAACTTCCCCTTTCCCCCAGATGGTTAACCAGTTGTCTCCACACCATATACTGAATAATTCATCATTCCCCCACAGATTTAAAATGCCATTTTTATCATATACTGAATTTTCACATATATTCGGATGTTTTTCTGAATTCTGTTCTGGAGAGAATTTGAATGTTCTTTGGTTTCTGCCTTCTTCAAAAAGATTCCCTGCCACCACCACCCCCGCCCCGTCCCTTACTGGGGATTGAACCCTGGGCCCTCCACCACTGAGCTACATCCCCAGCCACTTTTATTTTTGAGATAGGGCCTCACTAAATTGCCTGGGCTGAAAGTCTGCTGCCTCAGCCTCCAAAGTAGCTGGGATTACAGGCATCACGCCAGGCCACAAAGAAGTACCTTTATGTTTTGATAACTTAGAGTACCCTCTTTTTCCCCATTTGTACTTTAGAACTATTTGTTTTAAAAGATGGCATTTTATTTGAATCACATCAAAAATTTATATTAAACATTGGAGCCAGGCCAATGCCCAAGGAGTGTCCAGAACCAGGCCAGCTGTGGGGGATGCCACTTGAGGGGGCGAGGTAATGGGGAGGCTGCCAGGTTGCTGCTGTTGGGAGGCTGTGGGCAAAGAACTGGGGGAAGCAAAATTCTCCCCCAGTGCCTGCCCCTCCCCAGGCCCACTCCCAACCCTCTCTACCATCTGGGTAGATCCTTGAGGGCTAAGCTTAGGTGTGTCATTGGCTCCTTCTCATGCCCATCACCCCCAGCCAGGCTAGTGCCTCCCAGAGACCCCTCACCCCACAGCCCTTCACCAGCTCAAGGCTCCTGTCTCCATTTCTCTGAACGTGGCTGCAGATGTGTCTCTCTCAGAAGCCACAGAGGACAAGAGTGACTGGCCAGTGCTAGGTCTCCTGTGTCAAAGGAGAAGTGTGTGTGGTGGGTGTCCCTGAAATGCTGGATGCAAACATGAGGGCCGGGGAGGTCACTGTGGAGTAGGGGCTGAGGTGGAAGAGCAGGCGGCAGCACCGCAGTTCCAAATAGAGACACTCAGAAATCCATGTCCCAGGCAGCTCCAGCCGTCCAACTTGCTGGTCTTCGCGAAGCCTGCCACAGGATCGCCCACTCCATGACAGCTCAGAACAGTCTGCATGAGTCTCCAAAGGGCCAAAGATTCCAGTTGACCACCTCTAGAAGCCCCTCTGGCCCCTGGGCTCGGGTGAAGCTGGGCTTCTCAGGGGGCTTCTTTATAATCTCCTTTCCTGCTGATCAGCTCAGGCCAATCACTGCTTCTGAGTCTCAATGAGCAAGTGACTCTGGGGTCAGGGCTTGCACATCACAGTCCTGAGGAACTGGGAATTCTGCTACTGATGCTGACAGGAGAGTCCCTAGGGAAGGTGACACCCCTGAAGATTGTGCAGAACTTTGTGGGAGCCCTGGGACCTTCCCAGTCCATAGTGTCCATCATTCCATAAGCATGGGCCAAGAAGCCATGAGGGCACTCAGAGGTGCCACGTACAAAGCCCTGCCTGGAGTTCTCAGAGAATCACTGCCCAGGAAGAGGGCACTCCATCAGAAAAGGAAGAAAGGAGCAGGGCACTCACCTGTGATCCCAGCGGTTCAGGGAGGCTGAGGCAGGAGGATAGAGTTCAAAGCCAGCCTTGCAATTGAGCGAGGCCCTAAGCAACTCAGTGAGACCCTGTCTCTAATAAAATACAAAATAGGGCTGAGGAGGTGGCTCAGTGGTCGAGGGCCCCTCAGTTCAATCCCCCCCAAGCCTTCCCCCTGCACCCCCTAAAAAAATTCTTAATCAAGACCCGCCCAGTGTCCACCAGAAAGGTTGGGGGGGGGTAAACTTATTGACTCCCTGCCTTGTTCCCCAAAGGAAGGGAAACAGCTCACAAAATTCAGAAGCTGTAAAATTTTTTAAATTCACAAGAAAAAAAATGTAAAAAGGGATATCGAGTGAAGGGAAACACTATGAAAAAATATGAAGCCAACCGTCCCTATTCACTGAACTTGAAGACTAGAATCCTTGCCAGAGGTGGGCTGAGCTCTCTCATGGTTGAGGAGAGAAGTGAAATCAGGCTAAGGCCCTCTTCCAGCGTGGGAGACAAAAACACTGCCACTGAGAGAAACATTCTGAGGTTGCCCCACCTGCTCCCAGGAGGATCGCCTCCGTGCTCCTCCACCTTTCCCTGGGCTGGGGAGGGTGTATTGTCCATGCTCTCCTCCTCCTCCTCCTCCTCCTCCTCCTCCTCCTCCTCCTCCTCCTCCTCCTCTCCCCCACTCTCCTTCAAAACTCCATGTCAGCAGCCAGGTGCAGTGGCACATGCCTGTAATCCCAGCAACTTGGGAGGCTGAGGCAGAAGGATTCCAAGTTCAAGTCCAGCCGCAGCAATTTGGTGAGGCCCTAAGCAACTCAGTGAGACCTGTCTCAAAAAAAAACATAAAAAGGGTTGGGGATGGGGCTCAGTGGTAAAACCTCTCTGGGTTCAATTCCCAGAACTTGCCCCTGCTTTTCCCTCAGAAAGAATCCATGCCAGCATCTTGACAAACAGTAAGATTTTTAATATTTGTTAAGTAAATGAAATCCTTGGTCAGTGTAGAAACCAGACATCTGTGCATTTCACCTCAGTACCTGGCAGAGGGCAGAGATGTCAGAGTCCCTCAGTGTAGTGGAGAGGGGTGCAAAGCCAGGGAATGGGCAGCTCAGCAAATGCAACTTTGCAAACTGGGAGTAGGAACTTCCTGTCCAGTTCCAGGGAGGGGGATTTGGGCTCTGGAAGTCTGATTAGGATGTTACTGTCCTTTGAGGGAAGCTACAGGTGGAAGTTCCCGAAGGAAATGGCCTTAGCAGTGACAGGTGGTGTTGGCCAATTTCTGGACCTTTATTTATTTACCTCCAGTCTTGTTGAGGCAGGGATTTGGGGCTGAGTTGCTGTGACTCAGTGTGTGCTGGGTTCAGTCCCCTCTGTCCCCTCCTCCCCTGCCGGGCTGCTGTTTTACAATATTTATATATTGTCCAATTTACCCCTGTGGGTGAGAGGAAGGTGGCAGGTCCCTCAGAGAAGACAGCAAGGCCACCAGACAGCTAGGGGCCCCACTTCCCTTCTAACCCTGGGGATTTCTCACTCCAGCCTCAGTTTCCTCTTCCCTCAAATGGAGATACCAGGGTTGAGGCTGAAGATTTAAGGATCAAGTAAGGAACAGCTTGGAAAAGGGTCTGGCACTTGGTAGATTCTCGGAAGCAGCAAAAGCCCTTGGAGGTGTCTGCCTTTGATGGATGCAGAGCAGAGACCCAGCACAGTACAGCGATTCTTCCAAGGTCACAGCTGGGACCTGATCCGCGCCCTGGGCGGCCCGACTCCAGTGGGCCAGGATTTGTCAGGAGCCTGCTTGAGCAGTGTTGGGAGCAGAGGACGAGAAGGGGGCGGGCGGGAAGGGGCTTCTATTTTGGAGCGGGCTCCCGGTCCTCCAGTCACCTTCCCACGACCCTTCCCGGGAGGGGCGTCCCGGGAGGGTAGGGGGTGGGAGGGGCGGGCGGTTACCTCATCTCTGTCTCCGGGAGGCCCCGCTGGCTCCTTTGCTCGCGCCTCCAGTCGCGGCCGGGGCGGTGACTCCCGGCGCTGGTGCGAGAGGACAGAGGGGCCGAAGCGCCGAGAGGCAGCGCTGCTGCCGAACCTGTGCCGCGAGGGGGTCGGACCTCGGGGCCCCGCGCTGCCCGGCGGCGCCGCGGTTGGCGCTGCCGGCGGAGGCGGTGTCTGCGCGCGGCGCTCCGGGTCTGTTCTCTCCCGAGCTTTGGCACTCGCCCGAGCTGCTAGTGCGTCCGCCACTGTCTGCCTGCTCGGCTGTCTGCCCTCCCGCCGCCAGCCCTGTCTCCGGGCCCGGCCTCTCCTGTGCTCGGCTGCTCAGCGAGGCGACGAGGAGCGCGGCGGGGCCGGGGCGCACCGGACAGGGCGCGCGGGGCGCACGACTGGGCGCGCACGGCGCGGCGCCGGCCCATGAAGCTTTCCGGCGCGGGGCGCGGCAGCGCGGGCCGGCCATGGGGGGCAGCCTGCGGGTGGCCGTTCTGGGCGCTCCAGGAGTGGGCAAGACGGCCATCATCCGCCAGTTCCTGTTTGGCGACTATCCCGAACGCCACCGACCCACGGACGGGCCCCGCCTCTATCGGCCCGCGGTGCTGCTCGACGGCGCTGTCTACGACCTGAGCATCCGCGACGGCGACGTCGCTGGCCCCGGCCCGAGCCCCGGAGGTGTCGAGGTAGCGGCGTGAGTGGTGGGCAGGGGCGTGTGACAGTGTAAGGAGTGTATGTGGGCTTGCTGCACACGTGCGTGTCCACGTGGATGGTCTCAGGGCTCCTGACCATGTTAAGGAATCGAAGAAAAAATGGTGTGTCCCGGTATTGGACTTGAGCCCTCTCCGCCCATCTGGAGGAGCTCGGGACCTAAACCCCGCGACTTAGCCAAGGCTTTCTCTTGTTGCCGTGGGTGTTTCTATCTTTGCCTACCTCCATTGGTGGGACTGGACCAGCGCGTGTCGCTGCACGGTCCTGTGGCTGTGTCTGGATCCTTGAGCAGAGCCTTGAGCAGTGGGAGAGATTGGAATCAGGCACAGGGATATACTTCCTAAAGGAGGTAATTCTTTGCTCCCTCATTCCTGTGACCTGGAGCAAAGACATTTAGTAATTTGTGCTAACTCCAGCTCTCCAGTCTTTGGAGTGGATGTCCGAGAGGTTCAGAGGAAAAAGCCGGGATTAAACAGGACTTCCTGAAGCGGATGGCACTGAGCTGAACCTGGAAGGCTGAGTGGGGTTTTGGGTAAAGTGCAAAGTGCATTCGAGGTGGAAAGAACAGCAGTAGGTTCCGAGTGAACAGTAGTGGGCATGGCTGCGGCTGACGGGTGGTCTGGGGCTCTGGAGGGAGGCGGGTTTCCAGGACCCTGGGCTTGGCAATTAAGTCTTGACAGGCAATAGTAGCCTGCGAGGGCGGCTAAGGAGGGGAGCGGCCCGACTGTAGTTGAGCTGGGGGAGACTGGAAGGAAGAAAAGGAATATGGGAGCGAGGGAACAGGAAAGGAAGGCAAGGTTGAAGGAGGGCTGGTGGACGACAGGCTCCAGATATGGTTGGAGAAATTTACACTGGACACCACCATAAGGAGGGTAAGGCCCAGGAAGCTTGGAGGAGGGCGCTTAGAGATGGGGATGAGCGACCAAGGCCTGAAAATGAACTGTGGGTTTAGTGTCGCCTGCAGAGTTAAGGGGCAGCAGGGTGGGAAAGCGGCTTCCGCAAACCCTGGCCTCCCGCCCCCAGGAATGTCCTGACTCTAAAGACTGGAGCTTGCAGGATACGGACGCCTTCGTGCTCGTCTACGACATCTGCAGCCCGGACAGTTTCGATTACGTGAAGGCCCTGCGGCAGCGCATCGCGGAGACCAGGTGGGGGCGCGGCAGGAGGTGGTGGTGGGGAGAGGGGCCTGATTGGGCCAGGCCTTGGCCCGAGGGGAGTGAGATAGGGGCTGCAGGATCAGGTCATTGCTGTAGGAAGGTCTCTAACATAAGTCTTTGGCACACACAGGCCTGGTATTTCTTGGAGGTCTCTGGCCATAGGAAAGAATGCACCTGTGTGTGTAGATTCTTGGGGCGGGGATAAGGGGCTTCTCTGGCTGTGGGGTCTCCAGCACCGTGTTTCTTATCCCCAATCCGGGCCCCAGGCCGGCGGGAGCGCCCGAGGCACCCATCCTCGTGGTAGGCAACAAGCGGGACCGGCAGAGGCTGCGCTTCGGACCTCGGCGTGCACTGGCCGCCTTGGTGCGCAGGGGCTGGCGCTGTGGCTACCTCGAATGCTCCGCCAAGTACAACTGGCACGTGCTGCGTCTCTTCCGCGAGCTTTTGCGCTGTGCTCTGGTACGCGCACGTCCTGCACATCCAGCCCTGCGCCTGCAGGGGGCGCTGCATCCAGCGCGCTGTATCCTCATGTGACCGGATTGGACAAGATTGCCCAACCTCACTCGGATTGGACAGAGAAATCTCCTCCCTGATTGGATAAGGAAAACTCCCACCTAGTCTCCTGGGCGACCGGCCTCTCTTTGAACTACACTGGGGCCCAACGCCCCATTGGACAAGATCAATCCTTTCTGGGGCCTCATTGGGTCACAGTCGATGGAAAGGACTTGGCTATGTATCTGATTGGGAGATCGAACTGTTCCTAGCGCCTCATTGGACACAATCCCTAAGTCCCGCCTCTCTGGAGGTAATAAAAAAGAAACAAAGTACACCTGAGATTTTTTTGTTCTGGGATGGGCAAGACAGAGACTTGATTTTGGACTAGAGCTACCAAGCTTGGCCCCTTGGCAATTAACTCCAGAATCCCAACTTGAGGACTGTCAAAGGGGTGCGATGCTCCAAGGCTCAGTCTCCAAGAAACAGTTTGCGGAGCAAAACTTTACTGTCAGAGGCTCTGCTGGACCATAGGTCCTCGGGACACCGGGCTAGCCCGGCCTCCCCTAAGGCATTCAATAATATTAGTAATTAAATAGCTACGCTCATCCCCCAACCGGAATGTACAACAGAGGTCCCATTGTGCCTTGTGGTCCCAAGGGGTCTGATCCCATGAGGTCTGGTACTCAGGAGGCGAGGGGGCTCCCTGATGCAGAGGGTAGGTTAAGGCCACCAAGGAAAAGGAGAAGGAATGGGGTCGGGGAGCGGATGGGCTGGTTCATCACATTCAGGAATCTGGCTGGGCCCTTGGGGTGACCGAGGGCTGGGCTGGCCAGGCCCCGAACTCCGTGGGTCCAGAAGGGCGTCGGGGGCCGCGAGGTGTGGGAATGCGAGAGGGTTTACGGTCTGGCTGTGTGTCCATCCGACCCCGTGCCCAGACCCGCGAGGGTTCTGGGCCAGCCAGGGGGATCCCAGGTGCCTCTAGAGGCCCCCCTATGCCAATGCAGGGGCTGCCTTCGTCTGACGAGCTGGATAGGGCTTGACTTCGGGGCCCGGGCAGCCCATTGGCTGTCCGACCTGAGTCCCCTGGTTGGCCACACTTGCCACCCAGGACGCTGAGGGATGAAGAGGAGGAACTGGAGGAACAGTAGGCCGAGTCGGGAGCGGGAGGATCTGGGGGCCGAGGCGGGTCAGGGGCTAGTCCGGTGGGAGTCCCGCTGGCAGCAGCTTCAAGGGCACGGGCATTGGCCAGGAATTCCTCTTCCAGGCGCAGGAACAGCTGCTGCTCCTGCTGCGGGTCAAGCTGCAGAGGTGTGCGGAAGACACTGGCGGGTGTGGCGCCCAACTCTGGCCCCGGGCTGGAGACCTGGAGAGACTGGGGCGCTGCAGGGCTGCGGGCACGGGGAGTCTGGGGGGTGCTCCTGCCTGAGCCCCCGCCGCCCCTTCCCCGCGACACACAGGAGTGCTGCCCATCTCGGTCCCTGCGCACTAGCAGTACAGCCTGCTCCTCGCGGTTCTGGCTGCGGGCCCGGCGGGCAGAGCTGGGGGCGGACGGCTGGGCTCCTCTGCCGCCTGGGGCAGCCCGGGGCCGTCCCCGATCCAGCCGGTCTCGGGATTGGCTGCGAGGGGCAGGCGGCCGTCTCGGAGAGGCCGGGGTGCCTGTGGTCAGCCGCCTGCTGGACCGCTCCCTCCGGAGGGTGCCAGTGCCTGTGTCGTCACTGCGGGCACCCAGGGGGCCGCTCTGGGCTGAGGAGGCTGAGGAGTCACTGTCCCCCGAGTAGCGGCGGGAGCGGGGAATGGGGGGCAGCTGATCCCGGGCCCTGGGGCAAGGGAACAAGAGAGAGAGATGGGGCATCACTGGCGCGCACGCATAAGGGGCAAGGAGAGGGACAGCAAGGCAGGTGGGTGGCACAGCCAAGGGAGTGCTGGTGGGAGTGGTAAGGCATCTGTCTGTCCTGGGGACTTCCAGGGAGAAGTGAGAGGCTCCACAGCAGCTTCCTGCGGCCACTCAGAGCCCCAACACAGCAGCGGAAGAAATGAGGTCTGCATGGCCCCCACGGCCCCTCCCCAGGCCTCCGGTCTCCCCCAGGCCCGGCCAGAGGAAGCCTGGTTGGACTGGCCGCTGCCCAACCTCCAGGGCCCACCCCAGCTGTGTTGTTGGTTTGGTCGGGTTGCCATGGAGACGGGAAGCCAGGCCCACCCCCACCCACGGGAACTTTTCCCAGGGTATGAGTCACTCTGGAGCCGAAGGAAGGCAACTCCGTCATCCGGGCCAGGGCGGAAGCCCCACCCCCACCCCGGCCGCTCCTTCCCATGTCCTCCTGCACCTTACCTGGGCAGGGTCTGGGCCCCCTCCTTTGTGCTTCGTAAAGTAACCTCAGTCCGAGAGCCCCGGCGCTCACCCCCGGGAACTGGGCTACCAGGCCGGGGACTAGGGGTGGGTGACACCCTCTGGGGGGAGAAGGTCCAGGCTCTGGGCTGGGCAGGTTTGTGGGCTGTGGGGGGAGAGAACAGATGACATATGAGGGATACAGCCAGGGAAGGGAGCCCCTGCTTGTCCACCCAGCCCCAGGCACTGACCAGTGGAGGAACAACGGCAAGGGTCATGCTTGTCCAAGTAATGCTCCAGTGTGTCCCAGCCACCACCCACACGTACCATCACGTGGCTTCTCAGCACCTGTGGGGGCCCAGAGTGGGCAGGTCATGGCTGCAGCTCCTGGGTCTAACAGCCCACCAGGATGGTTGCAGCTGGAAGCTGGGGACCCTTACCCGCACGAAGATGAGCACATTGGAGTCTCCCACTCGGTATTTCCCTTCAGAGACCTTCATCATGGGGAACTGGTCTGGGCAAGTGCAGTGGCCTAGAATCTCCCTCACCTAGGGCCAGAGAGGACAGGCTGGAGGTCAGGGGTCAAGTCCCTCCTCTCAGGGCTTACTGTCAGCAGCTCCAGGGTCAGGAGGAAGTAAGTGCTTCCGGGGAATGGGGGTTGGAGACTTGTTGCCCCAGACATGGGAGCAGCTTCCAAACATGACCAGCTCCCCTGGTTGGCCCCCAGGGCCCAGAAAGCGGACCAGGACGAGATGATGGAACTGTCATCAGGTGGGGGTGTAGAACCCCAGTGAGGAACATCCTTGAAGCCCTTAAGCCTGGGGGAGCCCTGGAACCCGTCCTCAATGCTCCTTCACCCACATCACAGAGAGGGACCTGAGGTCACAGGAAGGCCAGGCCCTGGAGGAGGCAGGTCATGGGATACAAGTGCAGGGCACTCTGTGCCTGGCTGAGCACTGGTGTGGGGGAGTGCCACAGACGTGTGGGACACATGCACACACCAATATGCACACACAGGCCACTGACCTGGCAAAGCACACGCTGCACACATGTCACTCCAGGCCTGGAGCTGCCAGGCTGGCTGTGTGGGAGGCCCTGCCCGCCTCCCTGCCCACAGCGGCGCCGGAGGAAATGAGCAGGTGGGGCCTTGGGTGACCCAGGCCCAGGCCGGGGGTGGGGCACATGCCTCTGCCCACGGCCATCCGGCTGCCCGCCTCCTGGGCAGGCACAGCACAGTCCTAACCTCCAGATAAAAAGGAAACTCTTGGCTCAGCTGCGGGGGTGGCAGGGACACCTAGGCCCTGGGAAAGGAGGGGGGTGGCTGGGAACACTGCTCAGCACCTCCTATGCTCCAAGCAGGACTCCTGCAGCTCCATCAGGACTTCCTGTTCCCAGCAGCAGCAGCTGGGCTTCCCAGAGAAGGGCCAGGCGCTCACTGAGTGCCTACTATGCGCCAGGCACCTTGCAGAGGGCTTTGCACACCTCATCGCAGCCAAGTGCAGCAGCCGCTCAACCTTGGTTGAGGATGCACCTCTAGCTCCCGAGTGTGGGGAGGGCACTGAGGGGGTGCTCAAGTCAAGAGGCCCCCAGTTGAAGGAACGCACAGCACATGGTTAGTACAGCTTTAGCACCCAAAAGGAGGGAAAATCATGGCTGGGGACTTAGCTTAGTGGCAAAAAGCATGCAAAAAGCATGGGATTCCATCCCCAGCACCAAAGGGGCTGGGGGAAATGTTGGGGAGATGCCAAGGTGCAGAATACTGTCCCAGGCCCAGCTGCACTGTGTGGCCTCGGACCCAGCACCCCTCCCACTATGGGCCTAGCCATTTCCTTGGGCCCAGGTATACACTTGGCATTCAACATATGCACACTTTGCATTGGGTAGGCCGACCTACAGACACCAGGATAGGCAGGGACAGGTAGTGAGCATGGACTCCGCCACCTGGTTCCGGTGTGGGGCGCAGGCAGAGATGGGATGCTGGGTATGCCCCTGGGAGGACTCACCAGCTCATCCAGGTTGCGCATGTCACTGGGCGTCATGCGGGGTCCACGAGTGGAAGTCCCTGGTGCAGTGGTGGTTTCGGTGTCCCCAGCAGTGGGAGCATGGGTGCCGCTGGGGGGTGCAGCATGCAGCTCCCGTTCAATCTCCTGCTCGAACTGCACGAGGCGGGGAGCCAGCAGGCCGAGGCGGGCCCCGCGCCGCGCCACCTCCAGCAGGCACAGCACCACGCTCTTCTCGTTCTTGCGCAGCACCAAGTCCTCCGTCTCGAACATGAGCACCTCGGGCACGCCCAGCTCTGCGCGGCACCAGCCGATGAAGGTGGCCACGTTGTCTCGGGCCATGAAGGAGCCAGGAACCACGCTGTGTGCCTGGAAGGCCACACCTCGGGTCGGGCGGGTGACAGCCAAAGCACGGGCAGCCTCGGTGACAGCGTTGGCATGCTGGCACAGGGTTGTGCCTGTGGCCAGGCCCGTCAGGAAGCCATCACCACCGCCAGGCAGACCCAGGCCATACAGGGCGTTCAGCCACTCTGCCAGGTCTTCTTTCATGGCCTCCACATAGGCCTCACTGGAGCGGAAAGGCCGCACACTCTTTGCTGCGGAACCCGCGATGCTCGCCACTGGGTCCGCCATGCCCGGGCCAGCCGAGTCACTGTGGGCAGGGACACAGATCAGGATTGCTGTGAAGATCCAGCAAACACTCAGTACAGAACGCTGTACCTGCCCATCACTCAGGCTAAATGCCTGGTTTAAGTTCAGGTTGGGAGAAAACTCTATGCCTGTTTCCTCCTCTGTGAAATGGGTACAGAAACATTACCCAGCTCAGGATTGCAAGTTCCAGGCCAGCCTAGACAGCTTAGCAAGACCCTGTCTCAAAGTAAACTGAAAAGGGCCGGGGCTGTAGCTCAGCGGTAGAGCATTGCCTAGCGTGTAGGAGGCCCTGGGTCCAATCCCCACTGCACAAAAAAAAAAAAAAAAAAAAAAAAAACATATGCCTACAAGGATTCAACGGGATAATCTCACACTCGTGTTTCTTAATGTTTGCTGTTTGGCTTTCTTGGGGTGGGGGATGGGGGATGAGGCCTCCTCCCAGGCAGGTTGGTGCCCATCACAAAGAGCTGGGACCTAGA